GTGTATAGGTTTGTAAAGAATATATTTTGAAATTTGACTGGGGTTGAGAGTGGGAAGTTTTAGACTATCACTAAACAAGATGTTGTTATGTTATGTGTTGGGTAAGAACAGACATGTATATCTCAAATGCCGACTTTCACAAACATCTAGTTTTCAGTTAAAGTCACTACAACAGCCACCATACTTTTGTTAAATGACTGTTCTTGATGCGCCAACCCTATCCTCTCCGCCCTTGAACATCCAAGTGGTTATGCAACGTATTTGATCAAAAGTCCGATTATCCTGGTTTAGAAGACAAGTCAGTTCTGACTTCCAAGTCTTTCAGGCTTTTGAGTCTACGAATTGATGGCAAGGATGGCTCGGGAAGATCATGGATAGCTAGGATTTTTTTTTTTTTTTTTAAAACAATCCATGTTACCGAAAAATGTATTTGTACTATCTGTTAAGAGATTTGATGGTAAGTCAGTACACATAGGTCTCTTTTGTTAAAAGTTTTATTTTTATCTCGGCTGATATTGTTTGTATCAATGTCTTTTCTACTGTGGAGCCGGTAGGATAAGAAGCAATTTATGTATTTTCCCCTGAAGCCTCGATTGATAAGGCGACGATCTAACAAACCGGGTCTATAGTAGAAAAGACAGCGATAGGAACTTCTCTCTGTATTGTTTACTGGGGTGTAGAAATATTAGATCTTTTGAACTTCTTTATACAGATAACGGGATATCTTTATATATGATTTAAAAATGTGGAATGTGAAGAAAATATTTTCAGGATCTGGAATATCCGACAACAAAATTTGAAGGTACATGTAGGGATATCGAATAGTGTGTTTATTTGCCTGTTTACACATACATGTCGTATGAACAACGATTATTACGGGCTTAGTTGTGTAAATAAAGATCTACATACTTGTTCTTGCTTGAATTTTGGCAACGTCCTGTCCCAGTTTCCCAAAGAACTGATTTAGGGAATGTGCCTGATTTTGTGTCCATAATGAAGTTGAAAAGTTTGACGCTCCAGCTGTGACGAGCACCGTAACAAAAACGACCAAATACGCCATGTCAAAGTATAAGATTCCTCTGCATGTGTGTGTTTCTATGGTTCTTATGACATTATGAAACATTTTATCATTACAAGTTACAATATTAGCATTCAAATGATAACAATGTTATAATAATTACAAAATCAAATCAAATCACATCAAATATTTTATTATAGTCTCACCTCTCTACATGTACAATACAAACATGAATACAATATCTACAGCATGTTTTAATTAAAAGTACAAAACAATCTTAAAAACATTCGAGAGCCACTCTCAAAAGAGTTATGAGAGACTTTTACATAAAAATGGACAAATCGATAAAAATAAAAAACACTTTTTTTTTTTTATCTATATAAAACATTCTTTCTTTGAATTAAAATATCATGGCAGATTTTGGCAGAATAAAAGCACAAATTGTCATTACATGTATATTTCATTATAATACGTTATTTTGATTGGGTAACAGTAATCTCGCGTCATTCTGAAATTAACCTTCATTTCAAAATGAAATGTAACATTCATGATGACACGAGCTTCCACAATAAAGTGCACAGGTAAATAAAAGAAAAACTTGATAGAAATCGTGTTTTCGTGATCCTAGGAAAAAAAATGTAATTATAAGTATTGAATGCTTCTTTTAGTAATTTTATAGGGTTGTAAAAGCGTTGACCGTGCGCACATTTTTAGATACAAAATGTACTTCGGTCAACGCTTTTACAACCCGATAAATTTACAAAAAGAAGCATTCAATTCTTAAGTAACTTTTGTTTTTAAGTACACGATAAAAGGGTTATATTAAAAAACAAGTAAATATAGAATGTAATACTATAATAACATGAATTATCCCGCTTTTCACTTACATTTTCTCTATACCAATCGCAAGATTTCGTATGGTATTTTGCAATTTTAAGCAAATATAAAAAAAGGCATGCTGCCGGTTTGAATAATACGCAAAAATGTGTCAATTCATTTGAAGGTTCGGAAAATTTAGAAACCATTGTATTTTTTTTTCAGAAGCTACATGTACATGTGTATCTGCATTACTTACTTTTAAAAATCGGAATAAGGAATAATGACAAAATTTGAAGCTTTCAATTAGACACGGGAACAAAGAAGCTTGAACCTGTATTTTTATGCCCCACCTAGGGGCATTAGGTTTTTCGGTCTGTGCGTCTGTTCGTACCTTCGTTCGTTCGTCCGTCCGTCTGTCCCGCTTCAGGTTAAAGTTTTTGGTCAAGGTAGTTTTTGATGAAGTTGAAGTCCTTAGTACACATGTTCCCTATGATATGATCTTTCTAATTTTAATGCCAAATTAGAGTTTTGACCCCAATTTCACGGTCCACTGAACATAGAAAATGATAGTGCGAGTCGGGCATCCGTGTACTATGGACACATTCTTGTTTTCAACAGTTATTCATTTGTCAGAATCCTGAACCGCCAGGTTGGAAGATGCCACAATCTCAACACCTTAAATGAACCTTTGCAACAACTATTTGAGAGGTTCCTGGATGGCCTATTGTAATGCTAAAAGTTTGCCTCTTGATAACAATAGCCATATTATATTCTAATATATTTTGCCCATATTGAACACTCTTTTTCATGAGCAGCATAACCCCATGCCCTTCATACCAGTCGATCCAGAGTCTTCAGAAATTACGGGTTAATACATATCGTATTTATAATTAATTTGTTCTCATCATAATATGCATGTCATAATTGCCACTGTAGGTTACAATAAAGCAAACAATTTGTAATCACAGTTTTGTTAGTTTGTCATGTTTCCTTGTCTTGATGTCGTATGTAGGCATTTTTGAGAGAAGCTTTCAACTTGACCGGAAGAGGGTATTCATGCATGGAACAGGTGTGCCTTAGGTATTAGTTTTCCAGCAATATGAATAATTGTACCAATTGTAATGAAGGCACTGCTTAGATGATAACAATAAAAAGGTTAAAACAATACTTCTTTTCTAGAACTGTCTTACAGTTGTCTTTTTTTGTTTTCGATCCATTGCTTTTTGTATTAATCAGTTATTACATTTGTACATATTAGCATGTTCGGATTAAGTATTAGATACAATACAAAGGTAACAAAGAAACAGGCCGGTAACAACCGTTGCCGGATAGTTTTTCTGCACGAGTAGTCAGGTCAAGGTCCGAGGCGATAGCCGAGGACCTTGACCTGACTACAAGTGCAGAAAAACTATACGGCAGGTTGTTTCCGGCCTGTTTTTTTGTTACTTTTGTTTTGTATCTGACTTGTACGACGTTTCAAGAAAGTAATAATACATTTTGCAAGACTAAACATTTGAGAAACTTAGATAGCCATAAAGCAGTAAATGTAAGTTATAGTATAAACACACTTTTTTTTTTTCATTTCCCTTCAACCGAGAGTTTTTTTCAAGAAAAAAATCAGGAATCTAATAATTTGATAAAAAAGAACCATATCAAGTAAAAGATGAATGTTGTACACATTGAAGACTTTTTAAAATGCAACTTCGTAAAAAAGTAATATATTAAAGAAATATTTTAGTGGTAAGTAAGCTAACGTTTGATTTTTATGAATGAACCGGAAAGCGGGGAGGGGGCCTAATTTAATTTAAAAACAGGCTGTGATCTTTATTTTGATGAAAAAATGCAGAATGTGCCATTCCATCCTCCCATTCCCCCTTTAAAAAAATCGTAAAAATCGCACGTTTGTTGCCAAATACATGAATTCAATATTCAGTGGTGGGGGTCCCGGGGGTTGTAACACCCCTTTTTTGAACGATCAATACATTTAAATGGGGACATATAGTTGGACCCCCCCCCCCCCCTGTTTTGTCCTGAATTTGGAACCCCCTTTTTTAAAATGGCTGGATCCGCAACTGATATATATGTATATATAAATTCAATAACAATATAAATGTATCAAAAGAATGAATTTCCTACTTCATTAGTGAATGAAATGTTATGAAAAAATGGATTTTGTCTTAATATTATATATATTCAGGCACATACTTTGATCTTTTTTTTAAATTCATGCTCGTCTCTAGATCTGCAAGTGTTGATCGGGATTAAACACGTGCTACTATATGGTCCAATCGCAGCTTACCGTCCAAAATTGATGACATAAGTTGAATGAGTTTCTTCTAGATTTGCTGCTTATTTGGACGTGTATTACACGAACACTTTTTTTTATAGGATCAATCGTGCATTGGTGAGTTGATAGGGATTTTATCTTTTGATAAGATTTGATTTTTATTTACTTATTTCCTGTCTTTTTTTATTGAAATATGAACGTCGGTATCATCATTTCTTTACTTTCAGCATTGTCCAAAATACTATTCATGTCCATATATCGAAGAAAACATTTATTGACCGATTATTTTGCTTCATAAATGGGGCGGTAAGTTCTTTTCTGAGTATATTAGCTATTTACTTTTCAACGCCATCATCCAAATATTTTTGTTTAAATTAGCACTATACGGTATTAGGGAAATCAGGAATCATGCAGAACATTAATTTGTTATCTCCTTGACCATAGTAAATTTTTTCTCATAAAATTTGGGATCAAAATATCTTTTTTAGGAGAAAACCATACCCCCCCCCCTTTTTGAAGTTAAATGTCTAATCCCTTAGTGTACTGATATGAATAGTATTTTACTGAAAATGTTTGAAAAAAGATTTTGATGCTAACGTAAATATTTTGTTTAATAAAAAGACAGGAAATATGTCGGTGAACCAAAAAGTTCAAATCTAATTGAAAGTTAAAGTGTCCATGAACTCACTGATCATGCACGAGTGAATCTATTCATAAAAAGTGTCCGTGTAACAACTAAAAAGAGTCCGTGTATCATCTAAAAAGAGTCCGTGTAACACCCGTTAATGTACTGTTTTTCTATAGCTCTGCGGGGGGCAAAGTCGTACAATATACCTGGTCATACCGACAGCAGTTGGTTTTAATTTAACTGACCAATGTAAACATACAGAAGCCGATACCGGTTTTATGTACATGCAGGAAAATGTGAATTTTGATTCAATTTTCATACCGATTTGAGTTTATAAAGTGTAAGTAACTTATTTAAGTATGATTGTGTCAGTTTTCCGGCTTGTGCCTTTTTAAAATTAAATTAAAATTGAATTTTGTATAAAAAAACAATATTTACATGGTTGTCAAGCAATTATGTATACTGGTTTGTGAATATTAATCGCCAAACCTATTCTAATATCAATGACATTTTCACATATATTTTTGTCACTGATAAAGAATAGATTTCCCCCGTAAAAAATAACATACGGATCAAAGTTAATCTGCATGTAAACATATACAAACAATATTGATTTTTGTATAAATAGCTCACAGGTAAGTCTAATTTCTGACCTGTGACAGAAACCATATCAATCAATATTGAATTTAAAAAGGTTCTCGGTAGGATGTGGTAGTAAATGTAATTCTTCAGAGAGTCAGTTAATGATTTTCCAAGTTAATTTTAGTCCATTCTTATGTTATTTAAGAGGACGGCACTTTGTTTTGTTAAAAACTTCTCTGCAACGGTTTTATATTGAGCTTTTGACAGTAATGGTTCAGTGATGCATATTATAATAAAATCATATGAACAATCCACGTTTATTCTATTCTTCTAATAATAGATATACACTTTACCATGATCGTTTATTTTATTTTTCTAACTTCTAATTTGTATACTATATTTGAGTCGTGTTGTTATAAAATTTTAGTTTATTGAAATTGCCATTGCTCAAAACACAAACATTGGTATTTTCTCCTAAAAAATATTTAGTTAATTTTTAGCCATTCCACATAGAAATATTAAAACATAGTATTGGTATTGACGAAAAATAATGTTCTTCACACCATTATTAACTGTCATTTTTTTTTTATGATGAATTTTGGTATTAAATAGGGTTGAAAGAATCTTGCTAGTGTTTTGATTCAATTCATGAACCCTATAAGTCAAAAGAGGTATAGCTTGGACTCAGATTGTCGATGTTTTTTTTTAAATTTCGTTTAGTTTTGTGTCAAATATTTTATTGACAAATATAGGCTACACGGTTCATAAAGGATTTTGTTTCTATATAGGGCGTATCTAACTGTTTTCTAAGTCTAGATAAACATCAAGATATACTTCAATATAATAACTATTATCAACAAATAATTGAAATTACTGAAATTTTTTATATTTCTACATTGTTCTTAAATCCATCAGACACTTTACCTAAACATAATACAGTAACTCATGGCATATAATGTAACTTTATATGTTACGTTTATTTAACATAATTCTGGACAATAATTTTTGAAAGCATTGGATGATAATATATTTTGCCAAAAAAAAACAACGTAAAAATTGGATATTTATGTCCCGCCAAAATAATACGGAGGTATTATGATTCGTGTATGTACGTCCTACGTTCGTCTGTCAAAGGGTCACTTGGGAATAGAAATATGGTATATTTTGTCTTTTTGCCGACAAGTAATAAAAGCCTTGGCAAATTCGGCGTACGTTTGGCTGTCTTGGGTGTATATGTACGCAACCACGGCCGGTCCGAATGATGACTTTGAATCCGATGCCTCGTGTAGAGTGAGAGTGCCGTACCACGCTTATGCACGTTGTGAATCATTGAAACAACTCTTTGAGGGGTCCGAAGGTGGCCTTTTGCAAGGCATAATTTCTCCCTTAAACTTTAAAAAAACAAGGGCTGTAAACTGTGTTATATTGTGTATAAGTTTATGTTGCAAATAACAAACACAACACATTGTCACTCTGCATGGTTGATGTATATAGCAATATTTTTAAACGAGTGTGGTCTCTATCTATCATATAGTTTATAAGACATTTTATGATTGCAATTGGCTAAAAAATACAGTTGGAATCTGTTAAACTGAGCCATTCTTTCACACTTGGATTTCAAATGTAAATATAATCCTTAAACACTAATTTATATTTATCTAAAGTATGTGGAGCAGGATCTGCTTACCCTACTGGAGCACCTTATATCACGCAGCTGATTTTCGTGGTGTTTTTAATGCTCAGTCGTTAGTTTTTTATGTTGTGTTTTGTAGACTGTTTTTGTGTTTTGGTCGTTTTTCCAACTTTTGTTTGCCTTGGAGTTGTTGTTTGTCTTCTACTTATGAGTTTGAATATCCCTTTATTATCTTCCGCCTCTTTTTTACAAAATTTATAAAGAATATTTTACTTTAGAGAATTATTTCCTTGTTCTTGATGACAGAGATGTGTTTGCTCTCTGCAAGTTTAGAAGGGTCTATCATACGCTACCCCTTGAATATAAAAGATGGCAAAACTTCCAAAGAAAAACAAGAAATTGTCAATCTAGCAAGCTTTATGATATCGGGGATGCATTTCACTTTCTTCTGGAATGTCAAAATGAGAAGTCGCGTACTATACATATATATTTTGAACAAAAAAAAAGTAATTTGACAATCTGAACGCATTTATTTTGTCAGATTTTGTCCTGTTATGGTTATCCGAAAATGATTTAACATCTTGCATTCCATCCCAATATTCTAGTTTTTGCCATGATAGCCATGTTGGTTGATGGAAAAAAATTATAATTTGCTAACTATAATTAAGACTCATAAAGAACCAATTTCGTAAAGTTTGGTTAGAATGGGTTCAGTGTATCCTGAGAAGACCTTTTAAAAGGTTTACAAAGCTTTATATTTCCGAATGTAGATGGTAATATGATTTTCTCACTTATTATGCGTAGTAAGATAAGTATAGTTGGTGTAAGGTCACTGCAAGCTCTATACCTGTCTCACCGTCAGACAGAATCATCATAAATACCAGGATTAAAATTCTGTACGCCAGCCGCGCGTTTCGTCTACAAAAGACTCATCAGTGACGCTCGAATCGAAAAAGTTAAAAAGACCAAATAAAGTACGAATTTGAAGACCAGTGAGGACCTAAAATACCGTAAGTTTTTGCCAAATACGCGTACGGCTTATGTAATCGAAAAATTCAAAGTTTTGTTAACAGTTAATTTATAATTATGACCATATCAAAAATAATGAATGAAGTGCCGACTACTGGACTGGTGATACAGAGTTCAGCTGGCCTTGACCTCATTTCATGGATCAGTGATCAAGGTTCTGCTTTCGTATTCAAATCCGTTATTTCAAGACACTGGATGATTACGCGAATACAGGTCAATTTTATTGTTATATGGAATAGTTGTAGATGCAGAAGTCCGTTTGACCTCATCATGAATCATTGGTCAACGTTACTATTAATGGTTAGGCGTGTTTCTCAGATATATATTTATATGCAACTGATTAACTGTTTATGGTGTATGGAATGATTGTTAGGTGAACATGTCCGTCTAGTAGGTTTAGTCTATCCTTGACCTCATATTCATAAATCATTGATATCAGTAATATAAAACAAGGTGATGTGGTATGAATGCCAATGAGATAAGTACCCAACAGTCTAAATGAAGCAGATTTAATTAAATATAGGTCAAAGTACGGCCTTCAACAAATAGCAAATGTCATACCGTATAGACAGCCATATGAAGCCCCGACATGACAAATTGTGGACTAATTCAAGCAAAAACACCAACAGCCTGATCTGATTAATGACAGTCAAAACAATAAACGAAAAACAAATATGGCAGACAGTAACCTACGACAACCAATTTATTATAGGCTCCTGACTTTGGGACAAGCGCATATAAAATGTGAAGATTTAACATGTTTGGGAGCACTGAACGCTCCTTCTAACCTTATACAGCGGTGTAACAGCACAACAAGGAGTAACAAATCAGTTAGAAATGGCTGACTCATCAGGTCGGCACAAAGCGCAAGAAAACCTTAATAAAAAGACAAAAGACACAAAGTGCCGCTATGACAGTACCTACATTAATTTACTTAAAGCTTCTCCAAAGTCATTAACAACTAATAAATAAAACATATTTTCCAAGACTAAATTGTAAATCAGTACAAACCAAACGGTTTAATGTAAAGACGTCATAAACAGTCTCAGAATAGCATTACGTTGTACAATACCAAAATATAAATAGTAAATACATAACCTCGACAGGATGATGGACCATAAGTTTTCATAAATATATATAATATATAGCAACTCACACTTTTAGTTAGGTTTTACTTTATCAAAAACACAATCAATGTTAGTAACCGTTATGTTTTGTTTTACCTCCAGTAAAATCTTTATCATAAAAAAATGTCAACATAAATGATTAAATGATCAGTTAATTAAGTCGGCGTATCTTTTTAGCGTGTGTGCAATATATAAGGAAATTAGTTGCTCACTTTCTTCAACTTTGGTTACAAAAAAAAAAATGTTAAACCGTACAGTGTGGCAAATTTTGTAAAAGACTTGCTCATTGTCGTTGGATATATAAAGCTTGATTGATTGATTTTTTTTTATTGCTAAACGTCCAGAGAAAACTGAAAATTTCGTCATATTCAGTAGAGTAGTGCTTGGTATGTGCTATTTTATGACTTAATATTATATTCTATGTTTGATGATACTTCAATTGTACATATTATGTGCAAAATAAAATATGAAAAAATCATTATTCGTTCATGCTTATTTCATATTTTATAAGTTCCATTGATAAGTTATACCTTCATTACCTGCTACACACTATATCAACAAATTAATCACTATCAAAACAATTCCCGATTGTCCCACATTTGAACTTCCCAATTGTCCCACAAACATATTCCCGATGGCCCTACAAACATATTCCCGATGGTCCCACAAAATTTCCTTTTTTTTTTACCTGTAATTTCAAAAAGTGGGACAATCGGAAAGACACCATATTCAGAACGATAACAAATTATCAATTCCTACAAAAGATAGGTTCCGCAGGCTAGATTGTCTACCCCAGACGACATACCTAGATTGTCTACCCCAGACGACCTACCTAGATTGTCTACCCCAGACGACATACCTAGATTGTCTACCCCAGACGATAGGTTCCACAGGCTAGATTGTCTACCCCAGACGACCTACCTAGATTGTCTACCCCAGACGACATACCTAGATTGTCTACCCCAGACGATAGGTTCCGCAGGCTAGATTGTCTACCCTAGACGACCTACCTAGATTGTCTACCCCAGACGACATACCTAGATTGTCTACCCCAGACTATAGGTTCCGCAGGCTAGATTGTCTACCCCAGACGACATACCTAGATTGTCTACCCCAGACGATAGGTTCCACAGGCTAGATTGTCTACCCCAGACGACATACCTTCCAGAATCCACCTATTGAATGAATTGATAATTTGTTCTTGTCCGTCATATGATGAAACATTGAAGGTGGTCAGTTGCTAGGCAAATTTTATACCTCAATCCAACATAATCCCATTTTCCAGTTACATTCAGAAATTTCCCTCCAAACACGCCGAATGGAGAAACTTTTAGACTACCATTGAAAATGGGTCATGCTGGAAATGAATTTGCATTGTAACATGCCATCTACGGTTCACGCGAAGATTTATTGCAAGGCTTTTTTAAAGTGCAGATATTATAACACTCTCCCTACGTGAATCATCGGATTTAACGTCACAATTTCGAGTGGATGTGGGAATATAGATTCTACCACTGCATCGAGTGTGATACGATATTTATCCACTCGAGACAGTTAAATTTTCAAATTTAAAACGCGAGGCTCGCCGATCGTTTTAAATATTTAAAATTTAACTGTCGAGAGTGGATAAATATCGTATTACACGAGATTTGGTGGTGGAATCTGTTTCTCTAATGATTTTCAAACAATACGCCACCACACGTTGATTAAATTTTTTTTTATACAATGGGTGCAGAAAGGGATAAATTGACGAAGAATTAGAGAAACATATTTATTCAACTCAAAAAGTCAAGTGGACATATGTTTAGATGCCAGACGGTAAAAAACTAGAGAAGACCATATTTATATCCCTAACAACCTGTTGGCTTCTTTTCGAACTTTTAAAATTTAAACGGGTGCAAGTGTTAATTTCTAAAATATTCCAACTATAATTGTAACTGCATAATTGATTGTATCAAAGATCATAAATCAGTACAAATAAGTTTGAAAGGTGTTAATATTGGTTTTTTTTTTTCAAGTGAGCTTCTAAAAATTTTGCTGCAGATGAATATCAATGTTTTAAGCAGAAAATATGAAATCAAATAGTATAGCCTCTGGTGAATAAAAATAAATCTCTTTTCAGAACCGTGAAAACCTTTGCTGGACTTCTGACAGAAACATGGGGAGTGGTTCTAGTAAAAAGGTAAGTCTTCTTTTCATTCTTGCTTTGATTTTAAAAGTATCTTCATCGTACATCGATGCTTAGAGAAAATTAATCGACTGCATAAATTAAAAAAAAAAATAACCCGAGTTTCGGAATTAGTAGTATATGAAGTATCATCGATGCACCAATTAAAAGTCACATCGTATAAGAGACAAAAACATAGTAAATAAGTAGAAAAAATACTTTAAAAACCCAGAGTTAAATAGTATATCAGAAGTTATGGATTAAAAATTGAACAGTCGTTTAAGATATTACTGTACGCTTATTACAAGAAAAATCAAATTTTAATATTTTTCTGAATTTCAATGATGATTTTTACAAGGCTACACCGACCATTTTAAAAGGATACAGAACTGAGTCTGCAAAGATAACTGTTTCTGCTGAGAAGAAAACTGATGAACAATTGTCTAACTCTAACGGTCCAGAGGACAAGAAAAAAATATTAGCTAAAAACGATTCAAACGAAGAGAAGTCATATGATGTGCGGAACAGTGAGAAAGACATAGCAATACCAAATAATACGAATAGAGACGACAGTATATCGGTAAATAATCCCACACAAGATGTACAGAACAACGATGAGAAGAACATTATTGTTGATCCAGGTGAGTATCGGGGACCCATATTCTGCATAGATGACTTCAATGTCAATACACATGCTATATTTCTGTATCGAGTATATTACTATATATATTTTGAATTACAGAATAACAGGAAAATATACCTTATCATATGGTTTTTTTACACAATGTCTACCTGTAGCTATCATGATTACGCTAATTCATGGAGAGTAAAATCGTTCCCTCTGAGAAACCAAGCTATATGCAGTATCATTCAAACGAAGCGTATACATTTATTTGTAAGGCATCGACTATACATCTTTGATTCGGAGGTATTTTTTTTTCTCTCTTGAAAACAAGTGTTTTAAAATTTCATAAAACTTAACTACAGTTTGTTCTTCAATAACACGCAGGAGCATATTTTCAGTATTCATTCTTGATATATGGAAAATTCCTTTTCAAGCCCCTTCGAGCTTTGATTTTGTAGAAGTGATAGAAGTTTTATTGTATACATTTTAAGAAGGTTGATGAATAAGAAGGACATCATCTATCAACTAATATAAAGATACATGGACCTATGTCCAGTTTTCACAGAATCCCCGGTGTATATATACAGATGTACATGCACATGAACATGTACCGGAGAGGAAATGTAACTCATTTTCATTTGGATTCTCCGAAGAACTAAAGGAAATTGCATCACCTTTTATTACCATAGTCGAATAAGTAATTAAGTGCTTCCTATTTTCTTTGCTGATAAAAAAAAGATATTTAAAAAAGGATTCCAATTGATGAGTTTAAAGGTTCCAATGTGTCTGTCCCGAATACGCGATTAATATAGACACTTAAACGTACCGTGCATAGAATATAGCTATAGGAGAGGGTATGATCAGGGTTATTTTGCTGCCCCTTGATTCAAAAATTAATTTTAAGGATGTACTTAGATGAGTTTTAGGAACTTTTGACAGATGTTTGGACTCCTTGGTTTTTTTCCTACGATACAGGGTAAAATATTTTGTCCATAACACCCATTTTGCTTTTCATATGAGACTTCAATAGCTCATACATTTTTGTAAATGGTTATTGACTAAAATTTAAGCAGATTCTAGATTTCTTTTCTTTCGATTTGAGACCCAAATAATACTAATGCAAATATAAGGCAAAAGTCCGAGTCAGCCTTTTCCCACCATTTGTTAAACATTAAATATCTCGAAAAGGAGCTCCATAACCTATCAATATTTTTAGCTTAATTTGTTTCATAAATAATGCTCTTCTGACTTATAGTATCAATTTTAAATTCTAGATTTTTTTAATTTCACCTAAGTACATCCTTAAGCTTGTGTCATTAATATCTTGAGAACAAATGCCTTACTCAAAAAAGATATTTTGCTAAATTACATTTTATTCAAAAATATTTATATGGGTTCAATTGTGTAATATCCAATTTTTTCAAAATTATGTGTAAAATTGCCAATTTATGACAATGTTTTATGACGTCATACATGAATTGACATCGAAACTAATGTGTATATTCTAGTATAAAGTACCCATAATACACCATTTTATTCTAATTGCCATAGAAGATAGAAAAATTATTTGTGAAAGGACAAAATTTTGAAATTTATTGGATCAGATACTACCTCTTTTCTCATCTTGACCTTGAAAAATTCCATTCTAAAGTAAACCGGTGGGGAACATTATTCAATGTTCTTTCCTCCGCACTAGAAATAGAAAGTTTGAAGCTGCAGCAACAGTTTGATCTCTTGAACACTCAGTTTCCTTCACATATGATCTAGTTATATGTAATTCATCCACTAAAAGCAGCATTCAAAAGCCATTCTTAAATCAGTGTTTATATAGTAGAGAATTGATAAGAAGTAGTGGATTCGTAAACGATAATCAACGAGCGACTTTAGTCGCAAGTTGATTATCGTTTCCGAATCCACTACTTCTTATCAATTCTCTAGCTTAACACATTTCTAGTAAAACGACTGTCTGTTTTACGTTTTGACAATGAATCAACGATATTTCATAAAAATAGTTTCGTATTTTGTCTTTTTTATTCTATAATAGCTGGAAATGATTATATCCACACGGTTCGCATCTATATTTGGACATTTGACAAGTTAACATAAGTTTAAGATAACTTAAATGGGGTGTTAGCTCCCCTTTTTAACACCAGATTTTATTTTTGTATAAACATATTTCATTTAATGTTTAATCATTACAAATTATTTAAATTGAATAGATTTTGGTATATTTAATTTATTCAAAAAGACATATATTAATATACAGAATTTATTTATCTTGTTTTGAAAAGTTAAAAAAATTTAATTACCAAAATTTAGAACCTTCAAAATTTATATATATAATATTAAGCAACTTGATTTGGTATTTTGAAGACTGAACACCGTTAAGCCGTTCTTATTCAAATAAATATTATTAGCGTTGATGCCATACATTTGCCATTTCTTAATGCTCAAATTCGTGTTGCTTTCCTAAAGTATTAAAATTATGTGCTTACGATTTAAAATGAACTTATGTTTAAACTGTTTCCGTTTCATTTAGTTAAGATTATTTTAACGTTATTACATTTGGCATATATCGTTCACCGGTCAATACACTTGTTTTATCTGTGGTACGCATTCTGAATCCCCATCAAAATTGCTCTTGCTACGGATGTACAATGAATAATTATGCTAATTTTATAAACTTACCAACAAGCTGTTCATAGCCGTGATCGTCTAGTCGTTGGTAACGAATGTCATAACGGTAATATTAACAGTGCAAAGTTCGAACCTTGTATCCGGAATGAAATTTTTTCATTGTAATTTTTTTCTGGACCAAAATATTGTTTGAATCCTAGAACATGTAGAAGTATTATATATTTCATTTTCATACAATGGCGATGATTTTGTTTCTGTTTTTACTGTCAAAGAAGTAGTTTTAACCCATTTCTTAAAAAAAAAAATAACACCCAAAATAAAACAAATTCAATAAACATGAACACACCAAGATATATTTATTTCATTAGATTACAAAAGCGAATTATCAATGAGACAGAAATACAGTTAAATGACATGTATTAACAAGTAAGCGCTTTAAGAGTACTATTCATATATTGATTGATGTCAGCCATCGTGGTCTAGTGGTATCATGCATAGACTGAAGACTCTATTGATTATGAAGAAAATAAGCGCGGGTTCGAATCCTACACATGCCACTCGTTTTTAAAAGAGGATAAAAGATCGTAAGTTAAAGGTTTAAAGTTATAATATAAGTTCTATTAAGTTAATACCGTGGTCAGTGGATTCTTAAAAAATAATCTACAGTAAGAACAATAGACTGACGTCAAAGAAATGGGTTGAATGATACATACATTAGATAACAGGAAATATATTTGCAGACATTAAGTTTTTTAATGTTTAAAAACGTGTATTTTAAGATTTTTTGTTCATATTTATAGTCTTTGTTTGTGAGACGTTTTTCTGGGATACTTTGAAGTATACCTATATTTTGTTTGGGTTTTTAATATTGTGGATAGTAAAAATGAATGTTAGTTGACTCTGATGATTTACAGTCTCTGATGTTCCATGTTATGTAATTACATAAGCGTTAACATGAAGAGTGTTATCTTTTACAGAATTTATCAAGACGATTTATTGTCGGTGCTTTTCCAAATGGCCTTGTAATTGCTTCGGAAAACTTGACTTTAATGTCAACGCATATCATGGAGGTTGCACAGCTCTCTGTTTTGTATCATGTGCATTCAGTGCTGAAGCAGAGCAATCAAATACTGAACTAAGGCTGATACGATCTGGGTTTGATTGTAATCATGTGGAAGTCAAATCTATTGCTAAAATGCATGCTGGTCATTTTGGAGCTAATAACTCACAATGTGTCGATGAAGACGGAATGTTTATTGCAGATTGCATATTTGGAATAAACGATATTATGCTGTTAACAAACGATTCTCGTTATGGAAACCTTAGAAATGGCGTTTTTGTGGAAATGGTAGAGGGTGAAGATCAAATTGCACTTCCGGTAAACGTAAATGGAGGACAAACCCCACGTGCATGTGGATTGTCACTTGTCTTATGCAGTGGAAAGAATAAAGAAACAAGCACAAGTGCATTATACCTAATAAGATTAGGTTTGAGTGGTAACAACTTCCAGGCAAAAGTCCTGTCAGGAGAAGACATATTTAAGTTTGGGGTGAAGGACGATGGACAGCTGAACGTAGCTGGACCAAAAGGTAGTCAATTTGGATTATTTCATAACAGAAACAATTTAATATCACATCCGGGTTATACGTATGTAAGTCAGAGTCAATATACTGAAGGAACTGATGGAGGCATGTTGATGGAAAACCTAACAGGGCATGCTACATTGATAATTCTATGTTCCAATAGTAACGGCACTGAGGATTCTACAGCATCTACGGTATACCACTTATCTGTCAACGATGGAAATATCATATCTACCAAAGAGCTCTCTGGTTGTCATGGATCTTCTTATAAAAAGTCGGATTTATGGACATTCGAAATTGTTGCTGGACAACTGCTAGTGACCGGACCTACAGGTCCTTGCAAATATGGTGTACTAACCAACATCAAGGCTCAAACGTCAGATCTGTTACGGTCAATTAAACAAGACAATTGTTTAGCCACAGGAGAGCAGACTAAAACATTTGGAAACGTGCAAGTAACCTTAGACAATATTAAGGGAAATGTCAACAAATCATCGGAATTATGCATTATGATGAATCACAAGATTATTCGAACCATTCCTGTCAATGAACTAGACGACAAGAAAGCCGATCAGTATATATTTTCATTCCAATGGAAAGAAGAAGAAAAGGTGGTTGGATATCACATGATTAGAGTGTTTGCAGTAAGAAAACATGTAAAATGTAAGTACTGTCAACAATGCAGTCACATATCAAATTTGATTCCAAATGCATATGTATTAAATAATGTAACAATTTGATTACATTTAATTGAATGTAAGTTACCTGTATACGACTTGTTAGCACTACTGTAATTGTATTTATCGCTATTTTACGTATTTTCCCTTTGATCTTGCTGACTGATAATTTCCTTTCTCAGCGGTGTCGATTGATATGAAAACGGAGTCGAGTGATATGAAAATTATCGCTAGAAACTAAGGGAACACGTGCCGTTGTCAAGGAAATTAACAACGTCTTCATAGGTAAAATAGCGATAAACAGATTATCATTGGTCATCTCAACTCGATTGCTTTTCTCACTTTCGCCGTACCGGCTCAAGCGAGAAAATCAATCTCGTTGAGATAACCAACGATAATCTATAAATACCTACCCGCAATATTGAAATAAAAACAGAAAAAAAGGACACGATCGAGAGATTCATGTAAGATCAATGAAATAAGAAACATTTTTATCCTGGTGAGAGACAAATCTATATATGCAGTATTATTCAAATGAAGTGTATAATGTATACGTGTATTTGTCAGGCATCCACTATTCATCTTTTATTCGGAGGCATTGCATGTTTTTTTGTCTTTAGGAAACAAGTTTTTTTTAATTTCATTAACATAAGTCTGTATTTTTTGTCTCAATAAAATGCGCATTATTTTTTAAAATTTTCAATGGAGAAAATCATTCGATTCATTTTTTTTTTCTAAAAACAATTATGTGCTTCGTGAAATTCAGAATCAAACTATTTATTTAAAAAAAAAGCTCACTCAAACACACACACAGACACGATGAAAGTATTTTAAATCGTATTTTACACAATGTTCCTTTTCAATCTGCTTGAATTCTCAGCATACAATATAAGCATATAATAATAAACATACTTAATACTGTGTGCTTATAGTAAACACAATGTTCGTCATCTTTTTAGCTGGTGAAGATGTATACATTGAATTGTCTGGATCACCATGTCCTTTAACCAGACAGAAGCCAGGAGTTATATACGCCCTTAATTGTGGAGGGCCCGCATACCAAGATCTCAATGACATTGTATACTCTAGCGAGCACAAACAGTTTGCTAACTTCAGTGGTGACTTTCTTAAAGGTCAGTATAATTTTTATTTTAAAAATTAATATCAGGCATAGAATTATTATTTCTTTGTGTGAACTCATTGTATATAATTCATTTATCAACGAGTAAGTAGGTAAGGTAAAATTATTTTTAATATTATTTCGTTAAAAACGCAAAAATAAAGAAGAGTAAAACTGTTATGACTTTTGGTCATATATATCTTCAGGTGTTTTGGTTCCTATACATCCTTGACTATCACATATTCGGCTTTTACGTTCCTAATGAAGGTAAATCCAGAAAAACGGTTCTGACGCATGGAATGTATTAAGTAATGTTTTTCCTCCTTTAAACAGAAAACTACGTTTATGTCAATGTGTATATTTTGTCTAATTGAAAGTACTATAAGTTTCTGATTCAAGATATGCTTCACGAAACATAAACTTATAACGTGCATGAAGTTTTTAATTTTACACATTGATACATCCCGCCATTGTGTTGTTAATTATGCTTTGTTCATATTTTGTATTCTTGCCAATGTGCTTTTTCTATTGAGTGTCTACATCCCATTTTGTTTTATCTTTGTTTACACTGAGATTAAGGTAATAACACAATATTGACCGCTGTTCCGCAGGTTTTGACTGTTTGCCTATTATGTCAATTTTGTTTGCTGACATATTGTTGTCAATATTATGGAATTATACGCAACTGTCATATAAGTGAAATGGTTTAGCTGTAACTATAGAAACCATGTTCTACATAAGGAAATGCCTGTACCAATTCAGGATTATGTCAGTTCTTTTCCATTCGTTTGATGTATTTGAGCTTTTGATTTTGCCATTTGGCTTTCCGTTTTAAAGTTTTAAAGTTTCCTTACAGTTTGGTATTTTTGTTAATTTACTTTTTGGAGTACTTAAGGTACGGTTCCATACACAACACGGTTTTTGTAAGGTTACAAACTCCTTGTTTGTGTCGAAATTGATGGAGGCAACTACTGCATATAAGAGTTGATTTTTGTCGAGCCTTCGACTTTAGTCGAAAAAGCGAGACATAGCGATCCTACATTCTGTCGGCGTCGTCGTCGTCGTCGTCGTTGTCGTCGGCGGCGTCCACAAATATTCACTCTGTGGTTAAAGTTTTTGAAATTTTAATACCTTTCTTAAACTATCCTTGATTTCTACCAAACTTGGACAGAAGCTTGTTTATGATCATAAGATAGTATCCAGAAGTAAATTTTGTAAAAATAAAATTCCATTTTTTCCGTATTTTACTTTTAAATGGACTTAGTTTTTCTGCCGGGAAACATTACATTCACTCTGTGGTTAAAGTTTTTAAAATCTTAATAACTATCTCAAACTATCCTGGATTTGTACCAAACTTGGACAGAAGCTTGTTTATGATCATAAGATAGTATCCAGAAGTAAATTTTGTAAAAAATAAAATTCCATTTTTTCCGTATTTTACTTATAAATGGACTTAGTTTTTCTGACAGGAAACAATACATTCACTCTGTGGTTAAAGTTTTAAAAATTTTGATAACTTTCTTATACTATTTTGGATTTGTACCAAACTTGGACAGAAGCTTGTTTATGATCAAATGCTAGTATCTAGAAGAAAATTTTACATTCAGTCTTCAGTTAAAGTTTTTAAACATTTATTAGATTCATAAACTATCCTTGATTTTTACCAAACTTGGACAGAAGCTTCTTACAATCAAAAGATAGTATCAAGAGGAATATTTTTATTGATTTACTTCCTCATTTTTGTTGAGCCTGCGATTAACAGAAAAAGTAGGCGAGACACTGGGTTCCGGGGAACCCTTTCGAATTTTTTTATATATAAAGATCAAATTATTTTTAAAAGTTGTTGTTTTTCGCCATTTAAACAGTAGGAAACGACGCAGACATAGCTTTTGTGTCATAAAGCATACTTTGATTTTAAAAATTGAGATAAGATTCACATTTGTATGAAATATTACAGGTATTAGAAGTAAAGCAAGGGGAGGAGTTAAAAAGCAAGCAAAACTACCAGCCTCAATGTTAAAGTCACATGACGGCTTTCTGTATGTGGTTACCAGGACAACGTTTACTCAAGATGAACATGATCAGCGATTTCATTATCAGGTATGGATTTGTCCTGTGTACATATGTGTATCTGTACTAACAACTCCAAGAAGTTATTATTTCAATGAGAAATACATTTCAGTTTCAACTATTGATCTTCAATGTATTATGTTGAGTGTGTTATCCTTAGATTATCCTTTCTTAGAACCTCGATAGTCTTGTGATAACATGTTTGTCGTCGTGTGCATGAGGTCATGGATTCAACCACCAACCTAGCTTAGCCAAAGACTTGACAACTGCTGCTTCCCCATTAGAAATACGACGTTTAAAAGCCAGAGCAAAGATTTGTTAGCTCGACGACAAAAAACATGTGACCGGATTGATAGACATGTTTTATATTTTTCTGCTTAACCTTGTGAACTAGCGCGTTAAAGTCCACGTTCAGTATATGCTAGTCTTGTAAAAATCGGTGTTCCTATTTATTTTACATTATCATGTTATTTTGACTTTGCATGTAATAGTTGTCACTGAACGATAAACATACTTCTATCATTTACCACTCATCCATCCAAACTTTAACTTTTTTTGATCCCGTTTTGTTTTATTTGCTCTTCAACGTTTGTATTTCTAATTTTTAAATATTTTGGCCACCAGCAACATTGAAGATACATAAATTGTCGAAATGCACATTTGGTGCAGTGACATTGATACCGTTAAACTTTTACTCTGATACAGACCTATGAATAAGTACCTTTTTGACCTATACTTTCATACTCAGTTGAATTATTATCAAAATACGCTATGTGATTCATGCATCGGGAAATGGTTAGTATATTTTCGTCAAGTTCTAGAGACCAGAAAAGGTCAATTTATCAACACTTAGATTAAAAATGAAATAGAAAAATACTTTTTTCGCGTTCCGATTTTAAATTCAAATTTACCATTTAATGATGCAACTTTGGAGAATGCTTAATAATTCTTATTTATAAATGATATTGTAGTCTACCTGTTTTTGAAGTATATAATACGGATGCCTCAAAAATTTGGACGACCGTTTTGCAATATCTGTGTCTCAGATGACCACAGATATTTTCCGTTTGTCCTAATCTCAACCTGTTCTAATGTCATAAATCGTGCCCAACCGATTGCGGCATATAACATGAAGAGTGCCACAGGTCGAGCAGGATAAGCTTACCCTTCCAGAGCACCTTAGGTCACCCCCAGTTTTTGATGGGGTTCATGTTGCTTAGTCTTTAGATTTCAATGTTGTGTTTTTTTATACTACTGTTTGTCTATCCATCTATTTCTTTTTAAGCTGTGGCGTTGTTAGTTTCTTTTGACTTATGAGTTAAATGTCCCATTGGTATCTTTCACCTCTCTTTATTTATACTTGCATGAGCAATACGACGACGGGTGCAACAGTTTGGACAGGAACTGATTACCCTTCAGAAAGGCATCTGTTAACTTCCAGTTTTTAGTGATTCGTGTTCTTTAATTGTCAGTTTAATGTGTCATGTTTTGTTACTGTTGTTTTGTAAAATATTATATACATGTTAATACTATATAAATAGTTTATAAACCCAAACAAGACAAACATTTTGCAAGCTCAAACTTACCATTTTCAACAACTTGCAATTTTGTCACTCGATTTGTAATCATATAATGCTGTGGGGAAAAAAATGGGATATTTAATTTTTTTCCAGAATCAATTGTTGTCTGTTTAATGTATTTACAAGTTTTATATACATTATTATGTAATTTATTTTCAGATAAAAGACTTACCAAATGGGAATTTCACACTACGTTTACACTTGGCAACTATTCCTAAAGAGTTGAAACTGAATGATAAAGCAGTTGGTGAAACTCTTCAAAAGGTAAGTTCCCTTTTCATGTTTTTAGAGAACATTAATTTTATATTTAAAAATGAATGTGTTCTTTTGATTGTTTTAAAAATTAAAAATGTTTGGAAATATCAATTCCGTTATTCATAATGGTAAGTCTATTTCTCATGGTTATTGTGCACGTGTATTAAAGAAAAATAACACTTAAACCATTTTGTTGTGTCTGATGCAGTTTTCTGGATTAACCTTCATCAGTAATGATAAAACACAAAATATTGAAAATCAGAGTTGACAAATATGTAACCACGACACGACCTATATTTTAAGCACAAAGATTCCGAAAAAGAATAGCCAATAGATATAAGAGGATGTAGAATGAGTGCCAATGAGACAACTCTCCATCCAAGTCATAATTTGTAAAAGTAAACCATTATAGGTCAAAGTACGGTCTTCAACACGGAGCCTTGGCTCACACCGAACAGCAAGCTATAAAGGGCTCCAAAAATGACTAGTGTTAAACCATTCAAACGGGAAAATCAACGGTCTAATCTATATAAAAAAATCCAAATCCATATTTGGTCACGTTTTCGAGATGTAATAAGAACGTTCTAAACAAAACAGAGCAATTAGTAAAGATATGCTATGAAACAACATAAAAGATGTTATATTTAATAATTAACCATTTTTTTTCCTTTTATTTAACGTTTACAGAAAATCTTGAGCTCACAGAAACCAGGTGATTTGAAAGGACCAACGTGTTACTGTGTTGATATCGATGTTGAAATAGAAAACAACAGCTTAGAAGTGTATAGCAAGAGTATAGATGTATATAAACATATGGGTAAGAGCATTGCATTTAAAACTTTTATGAAAAAAAATCCTTGAATACTAAAGTGCATACATTTTTTCAAAACATATATTTTGACTACAGTAACTGATAGAGTGTAACTGTTTTCCGATGTCGATTTATATCTAATATTTTCATGAATTCGAAGGAACAAAATGTATTTATAGATCGCATAGGTGCCTTCGCACTACTTGACAAAACGTACAAGGATGAAGTTATCTCTGAAACTACAATAAAAGAAGAAGAATTAGAGCAACAGAAACTTGCAGACCAAATTTTACCAATTGATACAGTAACAACTAGAAAAGAAATGACTGTAGTTGGCTGGTCACCGAATCTTCTGCAGAATGCAAGTGGAGAGGTATGCCTTATTAATACATATGAAGCCATTTTTGCTATTTTGATTTTGCCAACACGAAAGGAGTCAATGCTATAATTCACAAAGCGATGGCTTGAAATACCAGGTAGGTTGTAATATATATAATCACTTTTGGGTTGTGACGTAAGTTATTTCTATGTACGTACGTCTATATTGTCGTTTAATTAGAACTAATAAGATGATATGTTAGCAATATAAGTATTCATTTAAAGTAGTATGGGAGACTTCCGTCATCATAGATTGTAGAAAAGCAAAAACCGATAGGTCTAGAATTTGATTAAATAAGCAACCTTTGAGGCAAGAATTAAATTCAATTTTAAGACTTTTCATTTGATGAACAACATTATGTGGTTCTCTCTTATAATCATTAATAGTTGACAAATGCAGAATATTTTTTTTATTGAAACACAAATTTAACAACTTAGCCATATTAGAGGAGATTATAAAAAGATAATAAAAAAATAGGAGATTTGTCATTGGTTAGATAGTTTTAATTTTTAATGAAATCTTTGAAAAGTAAAAAAAGCCAACTTAAATTTTTAAAATGTGTGGGCTTATTATTCCACCATTTCCTTTTATTTGTATTCAACTTTTTAATATCGTGCACTAATTATAACTCAGGTATGCTTGAATCGATTTACGTCAAATATTATAATGATATTGTTTTGATAAGTAAAAAATAAAATCACAAAAATACTGAACTCCGAGGAAAATTCAAAACGGAAAGTCCCTTATCAAATGGCAAAATCAAAAGCTCAAACACATCAAACGAATGGACAACGACTGTCATATTCCTGACTTGGTACAGGCATTTTCTTAAGTAGAAAATGGTGGATTAAACCTGGTTTTATAGGTAGCTTAACCTCTCACTTGTATTACAGTCGCATAAAATTCCATTATATTGACAACTATGTGTGAACAAAACAAACAGACATAATAGGTAAAAATGTCAAAAATAGGGGTACAGCAGTCAACATTGTGTTATTATCTTAATCGCTATAAAAAACAAACAAATATGTAAACAAACATTTACCATGGCACAATAACATAATGACGGGATGTATAAGTACAGAGCCACGTCATATGTAGCAAAGAAACACAAAAGACATACAGACAAAGCATATAAGCAAAAGTAAGCTCTCGTTCGATTTTGATATCATTGGTTCGTTGGGAATATTGATGTATGATTTCTCGAGTGCAGAAGGTTGTACGTTCGATTCACGACCTTGTTCAAACCAAAGACTTAAAGGTTGGTATTTTCTGCTTCTCTGCTAAGCACACGATGTTTTGAAGTTAGGTTAGATCGAGCCCATATTATAACTATATGTCCGAATAAGATGACACGTAATCCGGCAGACTGTTTCCTTGTAAACTAGCAAGTCAACTTCCGGCTCAGTGAGTCCTTTATTTACAAACCAGGGTTCATACATAAAGATGATATTTACAACTGGACGTAAAACACTTGTCCATCATCTTAATCAAATTCTATTTTATTATTCAGATGTAATCTCCCTTTTGCTTTCGAGCTTCTCATTTGTGCAGCTGTATACTGTTCTGTCACATGCTTTATGTTTTTAAGTAATCCCCCTTTTGATTTCAAGCTTCTCATTGGTGTAGCTTTGTATGTTTTTATTTCGCATACTTTATGTTTTGTTTAAACAAGTTAATTATTTGCCGGTTATTGGAATTGTTTGAGATGATTGTTGTTATGCACTGGTTTGAATGATTATGTTTGTTTCTGTGGATATTGCTTTATTTATTGCCATTTTGCTCTGACCAAAGGGTAAAATTTAGCTTTTGTCTTAATGTATAGTGTCTAAAATCAATCATCCGTAGTAAACCTTTGAAGTAAATTTCTCCTTTATAATAAATGGGCTAATGATTAACCCTTTACCCGCACCAACATATAACAAATGTCGTTTGGTAGATCTGTTCCGTGACCCCATGGTTAAACCAATAATACAAATTTAACTTACAAAATATGATGGAATTCAATAAAAAGGTTTAGAAAACTCTGTTAGGCATTACCTACAGGGAAATGATATTTGAGAAGTACGGTTGATGACTTCAATCGCCTGTAATTTCAGCATTCAGTGTTACTAAGAATGAAAGATTGGCCAAAAAAAGCACCAGCTAAGGTTGCATTTCTGTAAATATAGACAATGCAATTTCCCATTGGAACTCCCTTTACGGCTTAAACTGTTACTTTTACTATGCAGTTTCGTAAAATATTATATACTAGAATGGTATGCACTACTTTTTTAATCAAAAGTCAACACATAGGGCTGTGTGACATATTTTCAACATTTATATGCCCCGAACTTCTAAGAGTTTAAACTTATACTAAAATTCTGCACTACCCCTCACTTCACTTAAGGTCTTTCCCAGAAAACAATTCCACCGCCTACCATGTGCATTTACACTGGTAACATTCCCAATTTATGTCTCTATGAGATGAAACATAGAGATCATATCTGGGAACCAGTACGTAAACAAAACAAAATATCTATGAATATTATATATCTCTCCAAAAGAGACGTGGTTTGTGAAACAGCTGTATTTACAAAGTGCAACCTATAAGTAACATTAGATAACATATAAATTTCTAATCGTCTTTATCCACGTCCAAAAATGACTCTTTTATTCCTAAAAATAGGAAATATAGAAAAATTTTTAAAAGAAAAAAGGTCAATGACTTCAAAGTTCCTTAATCATGTGTTTAAAATTCTCTTGCAAAATTGCCGTTTACGACAGCATCAAACAAGATCGTATTTGTTCGTAAATAAAAATATGACTTAATTTTTGCCAAACTATATATGGAGTGTCAATTGCTTTCAAACTGTGAATTGGTTAATGAAACATGTATGAGACCTCCTTCACTCTAGTCTGGTATAAAAAAAAAGAAGGACTTCTCCACCATGACCTGAATATGCAGAACTCAAGATACGTTCTTAATTCCGATATCTAGAAAAAAGTAAAATCACAAAAATACTGAACTCTGAGGAAAATTCAAAACGAAAATTCCCTAATCAAATGGCAAAATCAAAAGCTGAAACACATTAAACGAATGGAAAAGGCGTTTCGTTTTCGAACTGTTAACTATTTAATAAGTTAAAGGAGTGGATGGTTGAAAGTGATTTCAAACCACTAGACAACTGTTTTAACCAACAAAACTTGTTTAAAACACATCCTTGTCGGCTATATGACCACTTGCAAATGTTAAGAGTGCACTCAATTCCCTTAAAAATTGACACTTGATTTAGAATTTATGACGGGTCTTAAAAATACCATGTGTTACAAACACACCCGTATTCCAAATTTGCATTCATTCTACGTGATTTAAATGAAAACCTCGAGTTCCACACATGTATTGCTACACATATTGAATAGCCAATAGACGACTAACATACCCATGTTTAATGTACTAATATACGCTTGCTGTTCTAATTAACGAACACGTTGTTATATTTGTTTAAATTTTTGTGTACAGAGTGGAGACATGAAGCACTGGAACACACAAGGTAATATGAAAGTATCAGATAGAGGAGGGTTTGGTACTGAAGCCAGCTTTGTTACCGGACACATGTGGTGTTCAAAGTACCAAGAAATAAACCTATTGGAAACTTTTAGTGCAGAGTATCTCGATACAGCACCAGACATACAGGTAGGACGAATGTTTTTTTTATAATATGGTTAAAACATAAATATATCAAGGACTGTATTAGGCATATGTCAAACACGTTTTAAGGATTGCTTCTGTATAAACACCTTATACATTAGGAAAAATTTCTTAAACTTCTGAAAAAAATAGACTGTTGAATTTATACCTAGTCTTAATTTTAGTTATCTTTCTGAAAAAAGGACAAGACTTAAAATCAAGTATTTATTTTAGAAAATGAGGAAAACAGTATACTTAAATACATCTCTAGGTGCAGATTTCGGAAGGGCTCACCTTTTAGAGCCTCAATAGACTTTATACAAGTCCCAATCCTAACGTTGTCTTTCCTGATGGTCCTCGCTTTTTCAGAATCGAGCTTCCCCACATGAATTCCCAATATGCTTAATTTAATAATTTACATTATAACAAAACATTTGCACAAAGTTCCTGGAGTTTGTAGTCTGCTCTCAAAAGAAATTAGAAATAATTTACTTAATTTTTCAACATATTAATGCATTTGCAAGGTCGATTTGGAATGATCAGAATAGGATTATTCCCTGTTTACCAAAAAAATTCCAACTGACAAATTACTCACAGGTTCCATTGCCCATTTACAATTCGTATATAAGTAAGTCCAAAAGGCCACATAATAATCATAGTAACAATTAATTCGAACGTCAGGACGTCTCTGTTAAGTATAACCAAAAACACCAATATTGAATTATTCGAATTTATGCAACCAAACAAATAAAACAACAAACGGAAGACATTATTCTTTGTGTAAACACACTTTATCGTTCTTAAATATTTTGTTTAATGCTGTTAACACAAGACCACTACTATTTGGAGCATTGTGTCATGATATGCATGGACAAGGAACATATTCATGACTACGAAGAAATGAAAGTCATAAATGGGGTAAAACTTTCTTGCAAGATAGAAACTCTTCATTTACATCACATGTTTACCTAATCGAAAATAGTTTTGTTATGTTAAAACGACATTAAAATAGTGATTATAGAAGCGTTAGCATTAGTCCATTAATTTGCATTTAGATATTTGAAATGTACAGAGAAGGGCATTGTGGCGGCGGATTCTATTGTTTAACAGCACAACTGATGTCTGAAGATGGAAAGGTATCTTACATATTTAGGTTATTTAGGTTGAACATGGATAAGACTGAATCTGAGATTGACTAAAGAGGTGCAAGATACCAAGAGAAGATTCAAAACGCATCAGTCAAAGACATACAGAGAACGAAAAGACAAACAAGTTATAAAACAATACTTAGAAAAGACTGATCAACACAAACCCACCTAAATATGTAGATAAATGTAGTGTTATTTCTATTCCAAATCGGTTCTCTGTCATGATCTGATAGACAAGATAGAGGAATATTCTTGTTTGATTTCTAATATACCCATTCAGATTATTATTTTCAAGACAAGTGTCTTACAAGCTACACAAAGAAACGATAAATAGCCATCTTTTATACAAAACAATTGTTTTTCTCAAAGTTTTGAGTATTGTACAATTAGCTTTCTTGAACTATTTCAAAGTCAGAGATGGATACCTGAGATACTTTATTTACCTTTCAATAAACTATAAACACTGATTATACTATGACATATGTGTAAGTTACTGTATTGTAATGTTATAGGTATTGAAAGAGTATACAACTGGACAGATTGGTTCTATTAATTTTGCGAATGCTCCATGGCATGAAGCTTCTGTTGTATTTTCTGGTTATGGACCTGGAGTAAGGATTGTGGCATTTACATCTAAAGGTAAGACCTGTCCATTTGTAACTTATTTGTCCCTTAGTGTCAATATGAGAACTTTTCATTATTGGTTTCTGTCGTCGTATTTAGACTTTTGAAAATTTACTGAAACCAATTTGCATTTCAAACCAAACTTATGCACTATCATCTCATGGGTTTGTAGTTTTTGACGTTGTCGCTGAGTTACCAACGTTTAAAAAAGATGAAAGTGGAAAGATGAAACTGGCAAACTGGTCCTTTTTCCTTACCTGATTTGCAGTGATCAGTAGTAACATATAAATGGGAAATAATGTTACAACTGGTTTACATTTAACCTAATTAAATGTGACTGTTGGATTTATAAAACACCACAAAATACAGTTGTTTTCCCTTGTTCAGTCTTTAATGCAATAAATGAAATGTTAATTTGTTCATTTTCTGGCAGAAATAGTTGGCCTTGGTGTTTCTTTATACATTTTTAACAATTGTATATGGTTATAAGTATATCAAAAAAGCTACAGATCGCATAGATGTTTCGTGTCAAATGACATATGGAATTTTGGCTTAAAAATGTAAAGAAAATAGCTGTTCATTGGGAGGTTTGGTTTCATACATATACATTGGTTGCGTTCGAAATATATCGGAACTTTTGAAATGCATTAAATATCAAACATAATTAGGTTTGATATTTAAAATCTTAAATGAATACAAAAAATTAACAGTTTATACATTTATGGAAAAGTTCTTTCTTTATCTTTATTTATATTAACACCAAAATTAGAAATGGAAAGAGTTAATACAAAGTACAGAAAAAAGTAAAATATCAATAAATAAAACAAATTAAAAACCAAACCAAGCTTGTCCAATTCTAAGTTAACGCAAATAAAGTAGTCACAATGGAGGCTTCATATGTATGCATTCATAATGAAACTGTTACATCTAGCTGCTGTGGTTAGCAATGCTCGATTGCAACTGCAAATTATCATTGATCGCATAGTGTGCCAACTTTTATAATTTTCTTATCCAAAACCTTTTGCGAGTGATTATCTCCTCCCTAGACCAAGAAGTGCTGTGGTCAAAAATGGTTACAGTCAGTCGATTACTATATGCATACGTGTTGTCAGGAGATCTCAAAGGTCTTGCTAACAATCAAAATTAGTACGATGGTCGTTCATACATAAAATGGATGTTCTGACCCTCCAACATATTGTTTACATATTTAGTACGCTGTGGAAGACACGCGATATTTGTGGTCATGGAGGTAAATTGGCAAAATATGGTGTCTGTTTGTATTTTCACACATCGTTGTCAATATAATGGAGTTTTATGCGACTGAGAGGTTTAGCTAGCTATAAAAACTGGTTTTATACACCATTCTACACTAGAAAATGCCTGTACCAAGTCAGGAATATGACAGTTGTTATCCATTCGTTTGATGTGTTTGAGCTTTAGATTTTGCCATTTGCTTAGGGACGTTCTGTTTAGAATTTTCCTCGGAATTCCGTATTTATGTTATTTTACTTTATACCATCGGAGTTTTGCGAAATATCTGGACATGCAGTATTTGATTTTTTTATGACCCTATACATTCAGGATGAAACACATTATATGATGAAATTGAATTCTTTTGTCCTTCTTCCCCCTGAATCAATCCTTGTCTTCTTTGACGTAAACACATTATTAAACTAATAACTCACAACTTAAGCTTGCATCTCATATATCCTAGTGGATTCATGAGATATAAACATTGGTAAACAACTGTTGCCTGTAAATGATGTCGGCGAAATTGGCGTCTAACTTTTTTAATTTTTAACACTCAGGTATATTTTTGTTTTTTTATACCACATATATACAGATAGACTTGTTTCATACCTAGAGATTTACCTAGAAGTCGAACGTAAGAATCGGTTTAAAATACTCATTTTCTTTTGTAATACTTTTGATTTTGAAATTGTCACTCCATTCGTGTTTTTGCAGTGAGTATCTCTAAGTTAAAACATGCTACAAAGGGTTTGTTCTTTCTGTTATATATTGTTTTAAAGTGGTTCACATTCTTTTCAAGCAGATGATAAACTGAATCAATTTAAAATATTAATACAATTTGAAAGTATAACAACGATGTAATTTGAAAATATGCCTTTGCATGTCGAGGCAAACATTAATTTTGTTCGTTTACTCAATGATTGATATAACTGTAACGTGTGCAGACTATTGTTCTGTTTTTGGCTTACAAGTTTACGATGTTTCAGTAATACATCGTATTTATTACTATATAGCAAAGGACGATAAATTTTGGGCTGGTCATTATGGTCCATTCATGTCTGCAGCACAAATTCGAGTTAGAAGGGAGAGCAATCCAGCTAAAGACGATAGCTTTACAGATATACTCCAGGTACATTCTGTTTGTCGTAAAATAACCATAATTGCATCATAGTATATGTTCAGAACTAATGAAAAAAAAGTGGTAGTCTGGAAAAAACTCACATAAGTATTAAACAACTAATTGATTTAATATGTTGAAAGAGTGTGCTAATTTCCGTCTTTAATCATAGTATGTTATAAATTGTGTTTAAACAAAAATATAAAAATTGAGACATCGACAATGCCAACGAGACAACTATCATTATATCAAAAGGACATAATGTAATAAATTGCAATTTGAAGTGTGGACTTTAACAGCAAACAAGAACAACGCTGTAAAGTAAGGTGTGGATAAAGGTAAGCAAATAATAAAAAAAACCAACTGTATTGATTTGATTTAACAACACTGAACAAAACACAAATATGCCAGATAACAGCAAATGGCATCCTCTGGAGTACAGGTTCGTGCATTTGTACAGGCAGATAAAGAGTATGGCGATGTTTAATATGTTTATAAGCGACGAACTCTCCCCGAACCTGGGACAGTACAACATTCAACATAAAATTAAACTACTGAAGTACTGACTATTGAACTGATGATACCATCGAAAACTGCCAGTCCACAAACAGAGGTCTAGACATATTAATTATCTGCTGGTCTCTATTCTAGGGCGACGACTCTGCTAAACGGCCAATAATAGACAAACTTGTAACAACTATTTTAACAGACAATCAGGACTTGTTGGAAAATTTTGCTGAGGGAGAAAGTATGTACTCTATTAAATGCTAACGTAATTCGTACGGGACACTTACAGTCACTTATTGTTCTGTTTGGAGTTTTACCTGATATTCCAAAAGGGTCATCTTTATTATTATTATAAATAGTTAAAGTTTTTTATATGGAGGTTTGATTTTGTTTTGTTTCGTACACTATTATCTTAGAATAAACAAGATTTTATTACATAAAGCGTGTCCTTGTGTATTTAAAATCCTACCAGTTGGTATTAAGACTTCAAGACTTTCAAGCTTTATAAATTTACTTTTTTTTAAATGTTCATAGTGATTAAGAGTCCACATGGTTTTAAAAAATGCAGATGACGAATAAGTCGCTACTTAGCTTAGAATACTCTTAATCTTTAAATTTTTCCGCAGAAATGCCTGTTGACAAGGCTTTTGACAACCAAACAAAGATAACAGTTAATCACGATTTTGTTCCATCAAAACAATGGCAGAGACAAAGACAAACGCGCAAAAAGAGAGAAATAAGAGTTTTTGTGTCAAGTACGTTTAGAGATTTTAAGGATGAAAGAGAAGAAATAATTAAAAAAGCATTCAGAGAGGTAAGTAGAATCAGGTGTTATGAATGTAATACTCCCCCCCCCCCCAAAAAAAAAAAAATAATTTGTTATAAAACAAAAGGATTTCATAATCTCACGACGCTTAGTGCTGGAAATTATCAGTTTTTGCCATTATCAGTTGCGTTTTATCGCTATTTCATTATTTTTCCAAACATGTAAAGAAATTTGCAAGTGTAAATACGACGTCATAATATATATTATCACAGTTATTATGTCTTGGAGTAAAATCACGATAACTTTTTGAAGATTGAATGTCTAAAAACTAAGAATCATATTATATCGGTAAAGGCCACTAATTTCTACAGCCTCATATTTCTATCTTATGTAAACTAATGACTGGTTTTAGTTGATATGTTAGTTTTTACACACTTTATGCAATGTAATGTTTATATAATGCACCAAATTGCTCCGATTCAACATTCATCACACCAACAATTTATATCCAGCTTTTATTAGGATCCCTTTCATTAAAAAAAAACATTAATTATGTCATGATGGTATCATTGATATGACTATTTACACGTAGTCCAGCCATTTTCAATAGCATTAACACTGTATATTTTTTGGGAGGAATCCAGACTACATTCGCATATGAATTATGAAAATAAAACTATTTTTTAAATTTGGTTTCAGATAAACCGTATGTGCACAGATCGTGGAGTTTTCTTCACATATGTAGATCTTAGATGGGGTATTACAAAAGAACAAACAAGTCATGGACAAACTATATCAATCTGTCTACAAGAGGTATTTATACATTTTTTCTGTCATATTTATTCATACACGTAGAGCATGCTTAGCCTAAAATGTGAGGTACTTGTATTACAATTTAGGATTTAAGCTTGAATATAATTGATATAATTGTGCAAAGGCCCACCACTGATCCAGAATATTTTAGCGTTTAGGGAATGTATTTACATATTGAAAACTTTTGATTACAAAACATTTTGGATTGTAGGTTGAGGCAAAGTTTTTCCTAGTATTTTGACAGTATTTTCGAAATAAGCTGACTTTGCAGCTTATATAAGTAGTACTCTTCAAGAGAATCACATTGTGAACCTTTGTATAAATCGACACATTTTTGTGAACACGTGCAAATACCAAATTAATATTTCAAAGGTAAGTTTTGTATAAGTAGACATAGCTAAAGCTATTGGTAATTTTTTTAGGGTAATTCTTGAAATTTAGACTAGTTGAAAGTCGTTACCAGTTATGTTTTTTTACATACAAACACACACACCAGTCTTAACGATGACGCCATATATATAATAAAGTTTCTGTGTTTGATATTTGATCACTTCAACTTTAAAAGAAGACCCTTTCCTGTTATTATTGAACCCAAGTTTATTTTTGTTATCTATCCATACTTTTCGTGTTTTGGTTAGATACATCTTCTTGCCTGTACCAAGTCAGGAATATGACAGTTATTATCCATTCTTTTGATGTGTTTGAGCTTTTGATTTTGCCATTTGATAAGGCGTTTGAATTTTCCTCGGAGTTCCGTATTTTTTGTGATTTTACTTTCTATATGTTTATCAAAGTAATGTTAAGAAGTCGACTTTTGTCACTGAAAGCTCGACATAGGGATAGTGATCCGGCGGCGGCGGCGGTGGCGTTAGTTAAAAGCTTTATATTTTAAAAGATCTGGAACCTTCATACTTTGTATATAGATGCCTTACAGTTTCCGTCTGTCATATTTCTATTGTCTTTGACCTCATTTTCATGGTTCAGTGACTACTTGAAAAAATGTCAAGATTTTTACTATTCTTAATTTCTCTCTTATTATGAGTAATAGGATAACTATATATAGTACAGACTGTATGTGCGTACCTTGCAAGGTCCTCATGCTCGTCAGACAGTTTTCACTTGATCTCGACCTCATTTCATGGATCAGTGAACAAGGTTAAGTTTTCGTGGTTAAGTCCATATCTCAGATACTATAAGCAATAGGTCTCCTATATTTGGAGTATGGAATGATTGTAAGGTGTACATGTCCACCTGGCAGGTGTCATCTGACCTTGACCTCATTTTCATGGTTCATTGGTCAATGTGAAATTTTCCTGGTTTAGTTTGCTTCTTAGATACTTTATGCTAAAGATCAACTATATTTAAAATATGTATTGATTGTAAGGTGTACATGTCTGGCTGGCAATAATCATATGACCATGACCATGACCTCATTTTCATGGTTCATTGATCAATGTTAAGTTTTCCTGGATTATTTTTTTTCTTCGGTGTGCAATAAATAAATTATATTTAAAGCATATTTGGTGTATGGAATGATTGTAAGGTCTACATGTATTTCCAGATTGGTTTATTTTACCTTGACCTTATTTTCTTGAATCATGTTAAATTGATGTGATAGTTGTAGTAAAGCTTTATGTTTTGGACTGTCAATATAATATCAATTGCAATGGTTGGTAAAGAAGGCGAGACATTTCAGCGTGTGCACTCTTGTTTATATGTGTTGTATCAAAGTAAGTCTTGAAAACGTTGTAAATTACCAGAAAGTTTCTTCGACATGTAATCTGTACATTTGTAGTTTACCGGACCAATAGTGGCCATGTGAATTTTTCTCATCACACGACATCTGTCATGGGTCGTCATCTGGTAACTTTTACAAAAATCTTCTTTCTAGTACTACGGGGCCTATTCAAACCAAATCATCATTATGGGGGTAACTAGTTTTAAAATGTGACAAATAATCTCGTCTGCCAACCAACAAGGCCGCACTGGCTAAAAATAGAAGATGGTGGTAAAATGCAACTTGTGTTATGATCTTTTGGAACAAATCTGACAGAACAGAATGTTAAGGATGTTGATATATATCTATTGGCATTTTAACATCAAACCAGTATGACGACTTCTTATGGAAGTAATTGCACTTTAGTGACGAAGTTTGTGTTTCCGTTTTGCTGATTATCTTAAAACTAAATTAGACAGAGAGAATCTTTAAAAGCGAAAGCGATGAGTAAAACAAAATTTGTAAATAGGTTGAAATTATTCAATGTAATAGGAAAAACTGTATCAGGAATACATAATTTCTATATTAGTTAATTTTGTAGATCATTTTTCTCTTTTCTTTATTCATTTTGCTAATTTGTTTTCTATTTTTGAAAATGTGGCATCCTATTATTCTATATATCTAATATAATTGCCTAATTTCCTCTATTCTTAGATTTTTACCATTTATTCTGCATGTTTTAACATTGAAAAATGTACCAGATCAACAAATGTAGATTCACAAGTATAGTTGTCAGTCTACTTTTTGTAGGTATAATGGCCCTTGAATGATGATTTTTAAACATTTATGTGTTTTTCTCAAAACTATATAGTTATAGTAGATAGAGACAAACTGTAAGCAGAAAAAATTATTAGCAATCCTAGATAAAAAAAAATATGTCATTAGTTATTGTCTAGTCTGCAATATTAAAAAATGGACATTGTTAAAAATGCACATAAATCCAGCTGAGCGACAAAAACTCATTAGAGCCTATTGAATTTGTTATCCATTCGTTTGATGTGTTTGAGCTTTTGATTTTGCCCTTTGCTTTGGGACTTTAGAATTTTCCTGGGAGTTCGGTATTTTTGTTATTTTACTTTTTTGTATACTTGTTGCTCATATTCTCCCATCAACTGGTTTATTTTTTATGTTTTAGATCGACAGATGTCGGCCGTACTTTATCTGTCTCATGGGTGACAGGTTTGGGTGGTGTCAAACAGAGGACAAACCAGATGATGTTCTGAATATGTCATATGATTATGCAATTGAAAACAACCCAAAACTGAAATGGATCGATAAATTTAGATATGATACAAGTGTTACTCAAGTAAGCAATAGTACATTTAGTTAACAATTTCTATGATGAATTTGGCTATTTGTTTTAGGTATTTTTGTCATATAGCTCTTCAACTGTTTCGGTACTTATACATCCCTCGGATTTCAAATGTTTGGCATAGAGCGTTCCTGATGAAGGTAAATCCAGAAAAGCGCTTCGGACGCATGAAATTATTAAACGTGTTGTTTTCAATTTTTTACATCACTGGGTCGATACCTCCTCTGGTGGACTATCAGTCCCCGAGGGCATCATCAGCTCAGTAGTCAGTACGTCGGTACTGACATGATTTATAACAAACTTTTCTAAAATTGTCCGTTTATAAATTTTGAAATTATAAAGAAACTAAGGTTTCAACTCCCTCAGGCAAAGTTGACCTTAGATGAACTTGGCTATTTGTTTTAGGTATTTTTGTCATATAGCTCTTCAACTGTTTCGGTACTTATAAATCCCTCGGATTTCAAATGTTTGGCATTGAGCGTGCCTGATGAAGGTAAATCCAGAAAACTCATGAAATTATTAAACGTGTTGTTTTCAATTTTCTATACAGTCTGCTGACAGTATTTAAAGTAAAACATTATAAAATGCTTATGATAACACAATTGTAGTCTACCTTAACAGAACTGAATTGACATTGATTTTCGCTCCTACATTACTTTTTTGTTCTTTTTGGCTTATAGCTCTTCATCTTATTAATTAGCTTTGGACTTTTCAAATATTTTGGCCTCGAGCATCACTGAAGAGACATTTACTGTCCAAATGCGCATCTGGTGCAAAAAAATTGTACCTTTAATGGTATGACTTCCACTGGGTCGATAGCTTTAATGGGTAACTATAAGTCCTCCAGGGAACATCCATCCAAGTAGCCAGTACCTCGGTACTGGGATGCAAATACATATATTTTTTTTTGTAATTAAAATTTGCTGTTATAAAATTTAACCAACGATTTTAAATTAAGGAATATATCTCATTCATGCAAAGCTCTGATTCTATTCCGGCTTTTGCTATACTTTTGTGTCCTTCCTGGATTAAAGCTCTGCATCTTTTTGATAAACCTTGTTTTTTTTCAAATAGTTTGGCCTCGCACATCATTGCAGATACATTTATTGTCAAAATGCGCATCGGGTGCAGAGTAATTAGTACCATAATGTTACTACATCCTGTAATGTTTGAACCTGCCCATTCTGATCTAGACATCGTTATAAGCATTTTTTTACATTCATAATTTATTGTTCAATGACAATGAGCACACAATGCATTTGACATACACATTTCACTTTTGCTTGGCCTTTCTTCTTTCTGGCACTAAATGAAATAGTTTAGTTTGAAGCTCTTGATTTAAATATGAAAAAAAACAAAACTCTAAGATATTAATAGTGATAATCGACAGACGTATGTCTACTGAATATCCTAAGATTCGTTTTGGGTTCTTTTACTACATGTATATAAATATAAATATTTTTTTATTTGCGATTTTAGGGTCCAAAAATGGATTATCTTACATTCTTCTTTAATCTGAGGATAAATTTAGGGTGTCTACCTACTTGAGGTTGTCTATTAATTATAGCTCAGTGATGTTCAAATATTGATTTATTGTTTAGTTTTAATCAATAGATGTAGTAACTTATCTGCAATTTAAGGGATTTTTTAATTTCCTGGTATTTTTTTAGCTCACCTGACCTGAAAGGTCAAGTGAGCTTTTCTCATCACTTTGCGTCCGTCGTCCGTCGTCCTGCGTCCGTCGTCCGTCGTCCGTAAACTTTTACAAAAATCTTCTCCTCTGAAACTACTGGGTCAAATTTGACCAAACTTGGCCACAATCATCATTGGGGTATCTAGTTTAAAAAATGTGTCCGATGACCCCGCCAACCAACCAAGATGGCCGCCATGGCTAAAAATAGAACATAGGGGTAAAATGTAGATTTTGGCTTATATCTCTGAAACCAAAGCATTTAGAGCAAATCTGACAGGGGTAAAATTGTTTATCAGGTCAAGATCTATCTGCCCTGAAATTTCCCGTTGTTCCCGTTGTTGGGTTGCTGCCCCTGAATTGGTAATTTTAAGGAAATTTTGCCGTTTTTGGTTATTATCTTGAATATTATTATAGATAGAGATAAATTGTAAACAGCAATAATGTTCAGCAAAGTATGATATACAAATAAGTCAACTTGACCAAAATGGTCAGTTGACCCCTTAAGGAGTTATTGCCCTTTATAGTCAATTTTTAACCATTTTTCGTAAATTTTTGTAATCTTTTACAAAAATCTTCTCCTCTGAAACTACTAAGACAAATTTAACCAAAATTGTCCACAATCATCATTAGGGTATCTAGTTTAAAAAATGTGTCCGATGACCCTGCCCGCAAACCAAGATGGCCGACATGGCAAAAAAATAATACATAGGGTAAAATGCAGTTTTTGGCTCATATCTCTGAAACCAAAGCATTTAGAGCAAATCTGATGGTATAAAATTGTTCATTAGGTCAAGATCTATCTGCCCTGAAATTTTCAGACCAATCAGGCAACATGTTGTTGGGTTGCTGCCCCTGAATTGGTAATTTTAAGAAAATTTTGCAGCTTTTGGTTATTATCTTGAATATTATTATAGATAGAGATAAACTGTAAACAGCAATAATGTACAGCAAAGTTAGATCTACAAATAAGTCAACATGACCAAAATTGTCAATTGACCCCTTAAGGAGTTATTGCCCTTTATAGTCAATTTTTTACAATTTTCATAAATTTTGTAAATTTTTGTAAATTTTTACAAAATATTTTCCACTGTAACTACTGGGCCAAGTTCATTATAGATAGAGATAATAGTAAGGAGCAAGAATGTTCAGTAAAGTAAGATCTACAAACTCATCACCATCACCAAAACACAATTTTGTCATGAATCCATCTGTGTCCATTGTTTAATATGCACATAGACCAAGGTGAGCGACACAGGCTCTTTAGAGCCTCTAGTTATAATCTTTCTTTCATATCGAATTTTAAAGCCCAAGCCTCGGCAAAGACTTTAAAATTGACAATTTAACTATGAAGATTAGATAAATACGATTATCCACGAGTAACTATGTGATGATCTGTTTCTCTGATGATTATCAAATAAATTTTCATTTTTGATAAACGAAAATCCTCTTCGAGTCCCTTCCACTTTCCACAAAGTTGTAAATTTCATTAACACATGTTTGCACATTTTGATTCATCCAGTGAGCTGATGAAAATTATGACCCTTAAACCCACCCAATCATCTTCTCAGATCATCTGCAACCACACGTTGATTAATTTTTTTTTATACAATGGGTCCGGAAAGAGTTTAAATGCCAAAAAAAACTAGAGTAATGTATATATCTATTTCAGTAGTCTATCCTAAATTGAGGTAAATCAAATGGCCTTCCAAATACTTTTCGATCCCTAACATCACTGAACAGACATTAATTGTCGAAATCCGGATATGGTGTAAAAAATTTAGCACCTCATGTTGTGGTTTACCATCTTTGCCGCAAGTTTATTGTTTTCTACTTGGTATTAAATTAATATAGAGATCCATCTTGTTACACCTCGTGATCAATTTATTTGGCAATCGTCAATGGCAGTCAGCAGGGTTTAAGAACATCAGTTGTTCGACCTGTTAGTCAAATGCGTTTTGTTAAAATATATCTTTTCACTCTTTTGGTCTTTTGGAAAATGTTTGTGCTGTATTTAGAACCCTCTACAACGAAATTTGTTACATGCACACGTATAAAAATTGCGGTTTTTATCCAACGCAATCATAGGTTTGAACGTTGTTTTCAATTTAGACTTGTTTATATATATATTTATATATATAATACAAGCCCAATATATATATATATACATATATATATATAAACAAGTCTAAATTGAAAACAACGTTCAAACCTATGATTGCGTTGGATAAAAACCGCAATTTTTATACGTGTGCATGTAAAACAAATTTCTTGGTAGAGGGGTCTAAATACAGCACAAACAACATTTTTCAAAAGACCAAAAAGTGAAAAGTATATTTTAACAAATATATATATATAGTGTTGTTTGTTAATACTATTTACCGCAGTCTATATGCATCGGTTGTGAGCTTAATAGTTATTCAAGTCATTGAAATAATCTTAACTTAACTATTTGTGCAGTTGGAGGTGTTCCATGGAGTTTTGAACGACCCAGATTTGGTGAAAAATAAATGTTTCTTTTATTTTCGAGACACTCCTTCAAAGGAAGATTTTCCAGAGGAAGAGTATAAGGTAAACGTCATTTGTGCCATGATATATATATTTGACATCACCAAGTGAAATGCTTAAATATTTTAAGTTGATAAATCAAATATGCTAAGTACAGTTTTAGTGTAAAATTTGTTTATTTGCCTGACACCTTTTTATAGGAGAAAGCACGTTTTGTTTTAAGATTAAAATTACGTTGCATACATTACTCTAAAAGGGAAAATTGACAAGGGTTGATGCAAGGATCAGAAATGCAGAATGCTTTGTTTTAAAATTGCAGTACTCTAAAGACATATGTGTGTTCACTGTTCTTGTTTTGCAATCAATTTGTTTTGAATTTTTGCGTATAATATTTGTAGCGCCTGATATCTGAATCGGATTGGCATCGTGAACATCAAGATTGGTTGAAAGATCAAGTGACTAAGCACAAAGATTTAAATGTGAGAACATTCAAAAAACCATTGGAAGTGTCTGAATATATTAAAAAAGTAAGTTTTGTATATTATTAACAAAATCCTTTTGCAAATACTTATAGATAAAACATATTAAGGAAGATCGTTTTAGTGTCTAGTATTTAAGTGGTTTCTTAGGGTTTAAAGAATACATGTAGGTATGGGTCACTATACGTACATACATGTTCAAAATGTGATAAATCTAATGATGGTTGCTCATGTTCCTTGATTTGGCATATTTGCATGCAATACCATTGCGTAACATTATTTTAATGAGAAAGTGTTTGCATTTGAAATGGGTTAACGCCTTGTCAATAAGAATTTATACAAATTTGAATCTTTCAAGTAACGAAACGTAGGATATGACAGTGTTCATTTGTATGACGTCATGGTTTGACATGGAGTTTATGTTCCAATATCCAGAATTATACAATTTTACAAGCGGTTTTGTACATTTTCTTTTTGTAGTGCATAAAAATAGAAATACCAGTACTGTTGTTTAAGATCTGCCGCCATCAAATCTCCAATGGGCGGTGGCAACTTTCCAATTTCAGTACAGTTTTTCCTTTAAATATTACATTTCATCTGTAAAACATATCGCTTGCAGGATTTAGAACGATGCCTTGATGACGATTTTCCAAAAGGAACAGAGCTTTCCAAACTTGAACAACAGAGAGAGGCACATGCAGCATTTTCATCGGCAAGATGTAGAGTTTATATTGGAAGTCAAGATTATTTTACAGAAATTAACAACAATAGAAGTCAAAATCTAACTCAACCTTTTGTACTGCTTGGAGAGTCTGGTGAATATCAAGATACAATATGTTTATTTTTCTCATCAATTAGAATGTTCAATTTCAACTTTCGATTTTTTAAAATCAGTAAAAGTTTGTACCTAAATAGTTGTCAATCAGCCAACAGGAAACTCCTTTAGATGCTAATTGAGAGGCAATCAGGTTGAATTTGTATTTGTTAAACCAGTTTCTTCTACTCCTCAATAATTGACTAGGTACACTCTGTAAGTTATTTCGCCTACTATAATTTAAAATATTATTCCCGAACTTTGTCCTCTTATTCAAGCACTAAACAGCACGACATTTCAAAAGTAAGTTATTTCTTACTGTTTGTGATCATAAAATATTATACCATAAGGTTATGGCGAGGTTAGATTTGTGAACGTTAAAGCTTCTTGTCGATTTTGAAAACTAAAGGATTAACTTTTGGAGAATTACATGACATTATAATCATAATTTGAGACATTGTCCACCTTATTTATATGCCTTCTACAATTTTATATATAGATGCCAGCATTATCTTGGGCACCTATCCAACTGTGTATTCTCAAATGCCTGTATTATTTACTAGGAACTTTGTATAGTCAAATAGCAGATACGGTTTGAGTCTAGTTCCGGTTGTGAACCAATGGACAAGTTAATTTGCAAGGAAACAATATCTTTCCTTAAATTTTTCTGTAATGTATGGATTAGTTAATTAGGTAATTCCCATAAAGACCTATGAAAATGTAAGAAGTTACAAATCAAAATTGAGTTTCATTCTAGTTGAGCAGTGGTTCTAGCATTTGAAACATTTCTTCGAAATACAATTTCCCATGGCTTGTAATTTTAGAAAATATCGACATTTTCTGAGTTAGAAAAGAGTCAATTGTCCATCCGCTATTGTGTAATGACTGATAACTAATGCCCTTCAAGGTGACGAACTATTCATTTTTTACCAATAGGTCAAGTCGGGTCACAACAAACATTCATATAATTACCGTTTTGTAGAAAATCATTGTATCTCATTTTCAAAACTCCTTTGCTCAATGAATTTTTTTTCAAATTAATAATGTTTTATATTCATCTTAAGGTTGTGGTAAATCTGCTCTGGTTGCTAACTGGGTCAAGCAGGTTGAAGAAGCAGAACCGGCAACATTCATGTTTGTCCATTTTATTGGCAGTTCAGCTGACAGTGCAAATTACATTAAGTTAATCAGAAGGTAAAGATAATTGTATGCAAGCCACAACTTAGAAAGATTAAATACTTATTCATTTGAGCACAAGTTAGTTTGTTACAAACTTAGCTTGATGATGGTCAATTCAAAAGTAACTGTTACAGTGATGGAATATTAGTACACAAGAAAAACATGTGTTATATTGGGGTAAACAGGAATTTATACAATCATACAAATATTTATTATCTCGTTCTGATTTTATAGATGAACGAATACGGTTAAGTTTTGCAAAAGTAAAGAAGTAACATTTATGAAACATATAGAATTCATTTGGTCAGTCAGTCGTCAATACCACAGTATTTCAAAGTAAAAAGACCAATACGAACATTGAACATATTTTCGTATAATAAGTCACTTCATGTCATTACAGTTTGATTTATGTTATATAAACTTACAACTTTAGGCATAAACTTTGATTTACAGATACGCATTTGCAAACCAGGAACAGCGGATGCAAAATTTGACAAATGTGACCAACAAATAAGCATGACATAGTTACAATGTATGTGGAGGCCATGCAAAAACTTCCATTATATAAAATCAGTCTATGGTTCGCTCTCTGCATCTTAAGTTTTTACTTTTTTGCCGTCTATTCCATTTAATGATAGTTATTTCCACAAAACATCCTTCCCCCAGAGCTGCGTGTCATCCTTTACGAAACCCTTCTTAACATTACTTGTTTTTGCACATGATTTTTACATTTATAGGAAACAAAGTGTTTTATTATATTTAACAAAGCTAATGCAAAAATTGTATCCTAACTAACAGACTTATACCTTTATGTTGGCACAATTTTCCAGTCAATTGAGATGTAAAAGATGGTTAAAATGTCAAAACTAGACCAAAGTTGATAGTTCATGTAACCCGAATAAGTCAGTCCTTATGTTCCTTTACAATGGCTACATTTGAGCTAACTGATCATTGGTTCTCTATCGATCGGGCACAAATCAGAATACAAGATCCCAGAAAAGTTTAGAGTGTATGAAGAGTTTAGACCAATGGAAGTGGGTGAGATCGATCGATCACGGAGAGGGACTGAATTGTTCGGGTTATATTTCAAAGTTTAACCTATTCAATATTTTCTTATAGAAATCAGTTTGAATGATAAACTTTTGATGGAACTAAAATCTCATTATCGCTATATCTATTTGCAGGCTATTTGGAGAAATTAAAGTTTTCTTCAACTTTGACATGCAGATTCCGTCATCTGATTCTATCCTTATTCATGAGATTGGCAAGTGGCTTAGAATGGCTGGGTCATTGACAAAAGTTGTCATTGTATTTGATGCTTTAAATCAGCTTGACTCTGGCGAAGGAGGTAAAATAATATCAAATATAATGATAGACTGTGTTATATAAAAAGATAAGGTGTGAAGACATGTATTTCATTTAGGTGTAGATAATCAATTTAAAACTTTTGAAATAAATGAAGTATCATTGTTTATATACGCAAGCAATGTTATACTAAATATACGACTTTGTCGGGTTTTCAGAAAATCGCGTAGCTCAAACTAAAAGAGATATAGTTTCGATTATGAAGCTTTTTCTCGTATTAACATATCTTTGCTTATATGCATTCATCTTTTTTTTTCCTTTACTTACAAATGCATTTAGTATGCACTTTTAAAAATTAATTCTCCCATTTATAGAATATTCTAAAGGCCCAAAAATTTATTCTAGTTAATTAGCCATTTGTGTCCAACCAAAGTTTAGTCTGAAAATAAAATCAAGTAATGATGGCGAGACTAAGGTGTGTTGTTTCAGACGTAGTTGGTGTTTATGATAGTTTAAGCTTGTAATTTTAGCAGTTTTTGGAGAATCACTATTAATTTGAAAATGGAATTTGGTAGGCTGAAGAATTCTATTATTAAATCTTATTGCAATGGAGGTAATTTGGCCACGCCTCTAGTCATAGTCCATTGACTATGGAAATTGTATAAAGTTATCATGTGAAACAAGCGAGGCATTTATCTAAGTCTACGAATATATTTTGCGATATATATATAAATTCTGAAACTGAGAGATATTCTGTAAATGGAGAAGAAAACATCAAAGATTTTAGCATAAACATTTGTTTATATAAAAATGCCCTTTGGGAAGAGAGAGAAAGCATCATAATGATACACTGTTTTGATACAAAGATTTTTGTCAAGAGGATAATAAAAGGATACTATGAAGGTCATTAAAAAATCATAGATACTGGTATGATAAATTCATTTCATGCAATTAAAACAATGAGAATTAAATTAAAAAATCCAAAAAAAAATCATCTATAATGAAAGCGTTATATCGAGATCATAGTTGATTAAACCTTATTTAATAGACAAATTCTTGTTTTTTACCTTAAAGGGGCACAAGCTGTCAAATTCGTGTTCATCGATTTGACTCAAATTCTCATATTTGATTTATAACCATGTAAATAGATATAAGAAGATGTGGTATGAGTGCCAATGAGACAACTCTCCATCCAAGTTACAATTTGTAAAAGTAAAACGTTTATCCAAATTATAAAAAGTCTAAAATAAACGATTTACAGGGCATGGGTTTGATAATATGTAGCTTCGTTTCGTGTGTATTTTAGTCTTGGCGCCATCTAATTAACTATCGAGTGGACCTCCAAAGACCTCCGATGGTCTTATAAGCGATGTAAACATAAATATTGATGTACACAGAAAGCGAACTCGTGCAATTTGATTTTTCTTGGTCTGTTTAATTTCATCATATAGATTAAAAATATAGGTTAATCCTCGTTTTTACTTGTATAAGAATGATTTTTTGTGGATCGAATGAGTCAATCAAATGATTTACCTAAGTTTCACTCTTAATGTTGACATTCTGTTCCTTTAAATAACCGAACACACAAAAAGACAAAATTAATACACGATAATAATATTAAAAATTTAACAGGACAATGCTCGTTTAATACACAGAATGTTACAATTGAATGAGTTCGCACTTTTGTAGAATGAAACGGTTACTTGCATAAAGTGAAACAAGAAAATATACAAAAATGAAAATGTTGATAGTTCAATATTTCTTAAAAACAGGAATATTGTCATAAGCTTACTTTAACATATTATGGCAATAAACCACTCTAAGGTCTATATTGTATTCACCTTGTCCGCCCTTTATTTATTCTGCGCTTAATTATATGGATTTGATGTGTCGTGTCTATGATTATGTGGTAAATCTCGTAAGATTCAAAATAAATATATATAAATATTTTGTTTTTCCCGTCCGTCCTGGGAACAGTATATCTAACAATACATTGTATAACAATACATATTTTCCTGGTCCGTCTAATCAATATTTTCGCATCACTTTTTCTCAGATGCTACTGTACATTATAAACCCATATTTGATTGACATACATGCGTAGAAGCTTGTTAGAACTGTCTGATTTGTCAGATATTTAGATCTTATTTGCCAATACTTTTCATTTTCAATATGTTCAAGTCAGGACTATGACAGTTGTTTTGTATTCGTTTGATGTGTTTAAGCTTTTAATTTTGCCATTTGAATTGCCTTGGAGTTCTGTATTTTTTTGTTATTATACTTTTGAATGAACTTTAAATTCTCGTTGCACATTTCTGTAGTTCTACTGTAAATAATGACTTCTTATTTGAACAGCAGCTTGGAAGTGATAATTTATAACATGTGTGCGGATCAGTCAGACAAGTACTGCCCGTTTTCTGATAGTTTGAACTACGTATACGTAACACGTCAGCACGTGCATTTTTGACTTTGTAAAAGGTCGAAAATGCACGTCGCTAATTTTGCTCGGTAAATACCAGTGTTTGAAAAACAAATAGTTGCGCAAATGTATCTTACTATATGTTAATTATTGTATTCATTGTATAGTAATTGCGTTATCATCTTATTTAGAATTAGAGGGAACAGAGCACGATCTAGATTGGATACCGTCAGAAATACCACCAAATGTGTTTGTTTTGATTTCAACACTTCCAGGAAGGGTAAGTCAATATTTCATGGTATTGTCATAATGCGAACTCTTTCTACTTCTTGCTGTAAAAACAGTAATGAGTTATGTGTTCAAATAATGTTTCTATGTTACCTACATTTGTTCTACTACTACAAAATTTAAAAACATTCTGACAGCTTTATGGTCGCCATCATGATCTAGCAGACAAATACACACACAATTTCCAAACTATACTTGACAATTAGTAGTTTTATGCTGTGTTTGTCTTCTTAAAAATCATAACGTTTGCCTCAATAATAAATAATCGAACATTTTAGAAAGATAACTCAGAAAAAAATATAATGCGTAAATGTTGACATTGTCGTCTCTGATGAAGAAGTTCAAGAGTATCGTGAATTAAAGGCCTTATTTGTTAAGTAGTTTGAGTTTTAATCCGAGTAAATCTCAAGGTTCCTCTGCTTAATTTTGTACACTGTGCTATTTTTTTTTTTAAATTGCTTTCCTTTTTTTGGAATCTTCAATCTCTCTAAAAATAATCTGAAAGTAAACAAAAGCACAAACCTGGCATACACAACATAGAAATAAGAAGATGTTGAATACTATTGCCAACGAAATAACTTTTCGTCGACAAAGGACAAACAATTGAATAGTTACAGGTCACTGCATGACCTTCAACCATGAACAAAACGCATTCCTTAAAGTAGGCCAAAGAAGGTCCCGATATGACACAATGGTATCCAATATAAAAGGAAAATTCAATGGCCTGATCTTTACTACACCAATAAAATAAATTTATAAGAGACAACAACCTATTCCAACCAATTACAACCACTTGATGACAGGTTACTTGGGACAAAGATCTAAATCATTTGATGGGGTTTGATGTCCTGCGAGATTCCAACTTCAATACTTAAAATTGTGTATCTATGAAATAATTTACTAAGTGTTTAAAGTAACTTCTTCTGAGCCAAAAACAACATTGCCTTAAAAAAAATGAAAACATACAATAGGGAATGTGTAGTGTGTGTTGCCGTTATTTGTGGTAAGATTTCCAGTCTGAAACAGAAATATCTAAAATCAGGACAAGGGTCATAAATTTGGCTACTTGTAGTTTTATATAGTACATTTTTTTTTTATTTCGCATTTTCGCAGAACAATTAAAACAGTCTTGATTATCTAAAAAAAATAGCATAAAGGTACTGGTCAGTGAAATGATTTGATTTCTGTTTTAATGAAATTGAAACGGATATTTACTGAAATTTGTCATTATTCGTGATTCATAATAATTGATGACAATTAAAGGGGAAAGTTTGGACCAGTGAAAATAAACACATTCTATTAAAAAAAACTTATTTACAAAACATACATATCGGAACAACTCATCACATTTCCTTTGAGTATATTTTGCATAATAATCTTTAAATGTGTGGTTTGTTTTGTGTTGCTGCTTCATGGGATATCTAGCGTTTATATTTTGTCATGAAATTGAGTTCAAAATAATTATTTATAGTCCATGTACTCTAAATTTCCTATTTTTAGTTTTATCAAATTACATGTGTTTTCTGAACAATTAGAATAATTAAGAAGAACAGATTAATGGGTACAAATATACTCGCTGATATTAATATGGATAATTTCTTTTACATATGCAGGCAATGACAGCTTGCAATCAAGCTGGATGGCCAAGTATGAAAGTACAACCACTACAAGACTCCCAAAAGATGCAGATACTTACCGAGTACCTGGAAGGAATTTATGGTAAAACTCTAAACCAGCAACAAAAGGAAATGATTGTTTCCGTTAAACAAACGTCGAATCCTTTATATTTAAAATCGCTACTAGACGAGGTGAGATTCACGTGTGTCATAATTGGGGGTTGCACAACTTACTTCATTTTAACATTCATCAGTCATGGGTGTTTAGAATCCTGTATGTACCAAGTGATTTCACATATGAAATATTGATGCCCTAAATAGGTAAACTTATAAGGCCAGATAACTGACAGAATAGTTATCAAAGGTACCAGGCTTATAATTTGATACGCCAGACGCGCGTTTCGTCTACATTAGACGAATCAGTGACGTTCAGATCAAAATACTAAGAAAGCCAAACAAGTATAAAGTTGAAGAGCATTGAGAACCTCGTCCATTGCTTAATTTCTTGAAAAGGTTAGTTGTAAATATTTATTTTATTTTTATTGATTGGGTAATCGTGCAACACTACAAAAATATATCTAAGGCATACTTCATCAATACAAGTTTTGAAACCTTTCTACACCTATTATTTACCCCTAATGTCAAGGAATGCTACAAGAAGAGATAAACAACATATGTTATCATTTCATTAATGATTATCATAATTATTATAAACAAAAATGGGACATTCGCAGAAGATTTAATTGATAATGCCGTTATAATTTTGGCATGTTTAGCATTGCTTAATCTGTTGTATTCCTGAGAGCATTTATCAAAATAATCCGTAAAAAAATAAAACACACACTTAGATAGAATATATTTTAGGTTCGTATGTATGGCTCATTTCGAACACTCACAGAGAAAATCCAAGAATATTTGTCTGCAGATACTCCACAAGACTTGTTCGCCAAAATTTTAGACAGACTCGAGGAAGACTTTGAGAAGGGAAATAATGCAAGGTAAAGCTTCAAACTATATATTGATGGTGTTCTCTTGTCCATGGAAATAAATAAAATCATCATTGTCTGAAAAAAAAAATTGTCATTGATTATTTCATTTTTCTTTTTACTTATAATATCAAGTTGGGATATTTAGTTTGAATGAAGGTATAATAGCAACTACATTTTCATCGGATGAGAACTTGCATGAGCGACGGGATGGATGTCGCATATGGAGCAGAAACTTGTTACCATTCAGGAGCGTCCGGGTTCACCTCCTGTTTAAAGACAAATCCTTCTATTCAGACCTACCACTAATATCTTCTTTATATTTTATTTTTACTTTAGGCTAGGTAAAAGCTTTAAAATAGGCAAATAAAAAAATGAGGTCACCGACCTCGTTTTCGATTTGAAACGCCATCTTTTTCATGGAATTTGGAAATCGGGACCTGTAGTCAATATCAGTGTAATATTTTATAAAAAGTCCGTATCCCATAACAATTGTTTGTTTAGTTAACCTAGTTGTAAACTATATGATTGATATTACCATTTTCTGAGCGAAAATGATAACGATAAGTTGCTATAATAATTTTCCCGCCTTTTGTTTTGCGATCTATTAAAAAATCAAGATTCATAAAAATTGACCAATGTTTTCTCGATGAGAATTCAATAGAATATATCTAAGACATCTAAACAAAATAAGGAAATAAAAAGGTAGGGTCGCCGAAATGGAAAAAGAGATATTTCTGAAAAGGGGTTAACAATTTAAATTGGCGGGAATACATTGCGCCAATGTTAAAAGCAACGTCGAATAACGTTAGACCGGTTTAGGGGATATTCTTACAAGTTATGGACAATTCAGTTCCCGTTATTTGATGTTTTTGTGGTTTGTTTGTTTTCAACTACACTAAATGCACATTGATATATACATGATGGTACTTATTTTTCAGTTATCACAGCCACGAAATATAAAAGCGGTGGGAGGAAAACAATCCGTTGTACAAACGAATGATTCTATGAAAATTTCGATTTAGGTTAATAAGAGTGTTTATGTCTTGAACAGAAAATCTTCTTGAAATAGTTTATATAATTTAATGAACAGCGATATTAAAGTAACAAATATATTAATATTGACAATAAAGAAAGTGAAGGGAAATAAAAAAATGTCTTACGTTTTATATCATAGTATACTGAATTACTTCTAACATAAGCTCTTGTTAATATGCTTATGCAAAAAAAATAGTACATGTGTTTCCGCTAACCCTACCTACCCTAATTAGTAGTGCCTACTCTAACACTTTGTATGCCATTTTGGAACAACCACTGTTAAAGTCAGACTGATTCCCTTGTAGTAATCAGCTAAAACATGTTTATAAAATAAAATTATATTGCCTACCTACCTACCCTATTTTGTTACAGCACGTTAGCGGAAACACATATATTATTTTTCTTGGCCTTACGCTGTATCGAAAAACGGTATATGTATTTTCGTATACGTACTCTGCAAACCAATTTTGCCAGCTTTTTCTTTAAAATATGCCAGGCATTATACAAAACTTTTGGAATATGATTCTTCAAAATTTGTTATGAGTGTGATGAATATCTCAAATTTAGCATGTTTTCGTAGAATTTTATAATTCAGTCAAAGTATATCTGAAAGACAAGACAGAATTTTACCTCCTATATAATTTTAATTTCGGTTAAGAATGTTATTCCTTTTCATTTTAGCGATAATTACTTAAAATAAATCGAAATCAAGGACCCCGTTTACACTAGAAAAAAGATCAGTTGTTTCTGAGATCGATCTTTAGTATATTGTAAATTGGAAAGATCGATCTTCAGTCGGACTTAAAAAACCATATCGAGGCGTGTTTTTAGATCGATTTTTCTAAAAGTGAAAGTGTTATATTTAGATATGAAAATAAATCTGCTCATGGTCAGTTTGGTATATTCTTATAAATGATTGCCTTTCATGGTTTAATCCATATTCTCAAATGATTTGACAGAACGTGAAGATAAAAATTCGACGTTTTTGTGTCATTCTTCTGAAAAGATAAATCCTGTTTCTTTTCTGCAAATTCCTCATCTTCAAACGAAATCACCGTTTTACGTAACATTATTCTCACATTTATTTGTTAAATGACTTGTGACATATTAATCAAAAAGATTATTAATAAATGCAGAAGCATATCTAATGAACCAACTATTTCCTTATTCTATTTTCTACGATTTTTTGTGAACGAATTGGTTATACCGAATATTTTTAGAAGATCGATTCAATTCCATGCAAGTGTTAACGGGGTCTAATTAACATAATTTCTGTTTTAGATCATGCATCCATAGGCATTTATGAATTAATTACAAGTATCGAAATACTCCGTAATGTTGCTCGAACCTCAGTCTAAGTATACTCATTCAGCTGTCATCCGTGATTATCCTTGGAACCAAGTCCGACCTATTTTTTTCAAATCAACTCTTGCTAAATGATTTTTTTTCATATGTATTCCTCTTTAATTCTTCATTACGTCAACTATTAAACACAGACACGATTTTGTTTTTCATACAAAATTTGCGCAACTGGTACCTAAATATGTCGATGTTCCATTTCACAAGCTTCAAAACTCAGCAAATCGAAACAGAATGGTCAAATAAAAAAAACCTACAGTGATAGAAGCCCATATGTTAACTTCTATAGATGTACTTTATTTTACACGTATGCGTCGTTGGGTTACTTTATGGTTGGCGTTTATCTGAAATCTATTATTATATGCGTGTAAAAATGTAAGCGCTGTACACATTTAAAATACGTCAGTGCAATTAACAATATCCATATATATATATATATGGATATTGTTATATATTACGTCACGTACATTACGTACATATGCATATGTATGTACGTAATGTACCTATTGCTAACGATACATTGAATTTTGATGGCATGATTGGTGATTTATTTTCTTAATGATTTGTGGAAATATAAATACAATTAAAAACTTACTATAGATATTGACTCGAGAGAATATATTAGTCCATATATGTATGAAGTTAGGGAAATTACTATTATATTATAATTTGATTGACCCATCTTGTTGTCAAATATCCGGATTCGGTTTTGTTTCTTGACAGTCGTTTTTGTGTGTTTTTTTTTTTGTTAGATTGCTGTATAGTTGACTCCCTTTTTATTCATATGTTTTATTATTTGCTGTTTTGATGTTTGTTTCAGCTACACTAAATTCACATACACATAATTTATTCATATATCAAATTCAGGCATACCCAACTTTATCAGTCCTATTCAATGACCGATAACTCTGTCGATAAATATTGGCGGGTATATCATGTTGAAATGTATACAATCACAAGTTTTTGTACACAAGTTAAAATTTCAATATCGGTTTTAATGCCTGGATTTTGCTTAAATTGAATTCAAAAAATAAATGACAAAAATCATATGCAATGAAGTCTCGTTTTCTACAAGATAATAAACAAAACTATTAAGAATAAAATTTGAATTACAGTAATTGTTTCAAAACAATTATTGTGTAACATTAATATAAAAAATTTTTAAAACAAAAGTCAACTTTTCGAAGAATTTTTCATAATATTGATTTTTTATTAAAGTTCTTTATGGTATTTATTTCTTCAGATGTGTACACGGGTAAGAGAAAATAATAATTGGTACATTACAGAAAACGTTTGTATATAACAAAATCTAAACTCTTGAAATACATGTGTACACTGGATGTTATGTCACCTGAAGGCTTTTGGTTTGACACGATTCCTTTACGATACCTAACAATTTGTTGTTATGTAACATTATAACCTTAATCCGACTTCACCTGTTCGTCAAGGGACATTAACTGTAAAAGGTACAGAGCATTTATCCGTATTGTTGGGCATTATTTTTTCTCTCAAGAGACGAAAACATTTTATTCTATAAAGAATTTATACATATTTTTTTTTTTCAAAATTGAAATAAATTATACAGAAAAAGGGAAAAAAAAGGTAAAAAAGTGAAAAATAATTTTATAAATTTCAGGGTTAACTATTTTCTTGGAACAGTATATCTGTCAAAATATATGTTTCTACTATTTTTTTCATTTCACACTTCAATTAATAAATTTTGTATCAATAAATTTTGAATTAAAATGTATTTAAATATCACCAATAAAAATAACAGAAACAGCACAGATTCTGCATGAAAAATACACGATGATTACAAATACATGCGACACTCCCAAACACATCCGCCATTTTAAAAAATCCCGAAAAATTAACTTTTTCAAATCGATGTGGGACGTAATTTGCCTTCGAATTAAACTGTTTTAAGTAGAATACTTCGCCAGATATATGTTAAAATATACTCAATCGAGTTGCAAAGTTTTCCTTTATTTATGCAATTTGTGAATTTGAAGTACAAGTAGACTGGGGTCGCTAGATTTAACATTGAGTCAACGGGGAAATTATGAGAAAAAGTGCGATTTTTACGAATGTCCAGGGACGCAATTTAATCAATAATTAAACTGTCAGAACCAACATTGTTTGGTAAATTATGTTCGAATACGAAGGATTAAGTTGCAAAAGTTTGAAAATGGGTCAGATTAAGAGAAAATTGAACTTTATTGAAGAACCTATGCATTTTATATGGGGCAATATAACACAAAATGACGGCTTTCCTACGTCACCAAAGTCACGTGATATCTTACTAAGTTGGATATGAACACGTCTATAATATGAAGACAATTTCATTTATTTCGCGGCAAATCAACCTATCAAATTATCTCTCCATCGGCTCAGAGGGAATAATTCTCATAAACATTTTCAGTTTGCGGAAACCACGACGTCATAAACCGCTGACAGCATGATACTGTTGCGCTTGTATGTGCGCATAAACAATAGAGGGATTTTTCTTTAATGTGGGGTTCGTTTTTCTTCGACTAAGGTGTTTTTATTCCCCCTTGGTATCTTCCACTATTTTTTATATCGAATATTATCTTTTTTGTTTTCTTTTAAAGACTAACACTTATACCTTTACAGAAACATCAATACCATATGTTTTATTTATTTTTACAGGGAGCACCTTGTACGTGATACAACAACAGCTTTATGGTGCGCTAATAAGGGAATGTCAGAGTCTGAAATAGTTGAGCTCTTGGATGTATGTATACATTGACAAATATAAAACAATGTTTAGTTTAAAAAAATTTAAGTGATTTGTTATTACTTGATGGTATTTGAAATTGTGCGTTTGTGCTTATCCACCATTGAGATAATTGTGTGTTGTAAAAACGGGTTCATTCTATTTTGAATGGTAAATGTAAAGATTTTTGTTTTCACTCGCTGAGAAATCATTTTTAAAAACTTGCAAAATGATTAAAAAGTTCAGATGTTAAAGGGGCTCTAGCTGTCAAATTCATGTTAACCGATTTGACTCAAATTCTCAAATTTGATTTATGACAATGTAAAACATTTATCCAAAGTATAGAAAGTCTTAAATAAACAATTTACAAGGCATGGCCCCGAGAATATGTAACTTCATTTCGTGTGTATTTTAATCTAGACGCCATCTAATTAATTACCGAGTTGACCTCCGAAAACCTCTGATGGTCATATAAGCGATATAAACATAAATATAGATATACATTGTAAATAGAAAGTGGACTCGTGCAATTGGATTTTTCTAGGTCTGTTTAATTTCATATTATAGATTAAGAATATATGTGAATCATCGTTTTTACCTGTATAAGAATGATTTTTTGTGGATCGAATCAGTCAATCAAATGATTTACCTTTGTTTCACTTTCAATGTTGACATTCTTTTCTTTTAAATAACTCAACACGCACAATGCATGCGTTATCAATCTCTAGCTAAGGGGTTAAATTGAAGTTCACATGAATACGGATGCAATGAGGTCGAATTATTCACTTGCACGTGAATAATTCATCATCAATGTTTCTTAGCTAATTTTGACAAAATTGAACCATATTGGCCGCTAAAAGCGAATTATTATTTCACTTTCATTAATGATTGAAAAAAAAATCATATTTTGAATTATATATCTCGTAGCTAGTGCCCCTTTAATGATAGAAACAATCAGAAAGTAGCAACAATGTTCGTAATATTGAGATCAACATTCTGTCCTTTAAACAATTTTCATCATTTTTGTTTCGTTTTGGTTTGTATTTAGAAAACAATAATAGAATGATAGGAACTGTAAAAATACAAAAATTACCATTAAGACGAGATCTTAAAATAAGTCTACATAGCTGAAGTTGTCACTCGTCTCCTACTTGGAGTTGTTATCTTTAGATGACGATTTCTACCATAATGATTGTTTTCGTTATTGCTCTTTATCTTGAAAACTAAAATATATTTATAGAAACGTTAAAAGCAAAAATGATCGACAAGACAAGATTTTCAAACAAATCTTATTCCCAAAATCGTCAGTTAATCCTTAAAGAATAGAAGTAAATGCCCTTAAATGACAATATGTAATTATTGTTGATGTTATTGACTATTATTTCAATGTTTTAGGTTACAAGTGCTGTATGGTCACCATTCTACCTATCACTTTATGAAAATCTGGTCAATCGGAATGGATTGCTGAATTTCTTTCATGACCATCTTAGACAAGCCGTCGAAAAGAAATACTTGTCTGATGCCGAAGCTAAACGGAATGGATACCTACGTCTAGCGAATTTCTTTGTTTCAAAAGAAACAAGTAACAGGACAGTGTGTATTTTATGAATAAATATCGTATATATGTATGGTTTTAATTTCGATTTTGTTAAAATGTGCATTTAGTTCGTCGTGGCTACAATTATTATTATATACTTAAGTTTGTTTCTGCCATTTAGAAAAGTAATGAAATATGTTTATTTTCATTGATTCCCTTATTATTTTTCCAACAATTGTAAATATGCAATACACTACTGTGTATTTATTTATTTTCTTGTGTTTTAATTTCGGTGAAATGTGGAGAATTTGGATATTCCTGGATATTTGATTTCGTGTGTTTGCCGTGTATGCATACAAGCCTCTAGAAAAATTATAGATTTATGATTTCACCGTTTACTCGTACCTAGAAAGTGGTTTACCACGAATAACAAAGAATACACTGTATCTTTAAAAAAATTTTATCAGGTTGAAGAGCTACCGTTCCTTTTGACCAGGTCTAATGAATTAGACAGACTTAAAACTACAGTATCGGATCTAGATGTATTCTATAGGCTTTCAGACAATGAAGATGGCATTTTTGAGTTGGTCAAAGCATGGAAGACGGTAAATATTAAACTTCATGAAAACAATTTAACAGCATTCAATATTTATTGTTAACTTGCTTCATAATTAATACGATTTGATTTGAAACGCTTGAGCGCTAGATATTTTGAAAAGGTTGGTTTTCCAATGTGACCTAATTGGACGACCTTTTTGTACTCATATAAAACAGATTTCCAGCAAACTTACTTCTAAATATCAAGGAAGAGACATATTAAGGATGTAAGGTCATTCAATTGCCTATATTTCAGTGAAAGTTTGAATCTCATGTACTCCATAAACCTTAAATTAAAGACCTAACCTAACTTTTTATTACAAGTATCGTAGCCATTTTCGTGATATTGATATAATTGGACGACTTCAACTGAACCTATGACAAATGTAAGAATTACACCACAAGTTTTACGGTCACCATTAAGATTTGTCTGAGTTTATACCTACAACAGACATGCTTTCGTAGTCTGAATTCTTCAGAAACCAGAACAGTAGTCTGTATATTTTCAAGCTGTGGCCAATCCCTATTTGTTTAAATTTGACAGAGCAAGTATTTGCATGGCGAGTTATGCATAGCTTGAAACCCTTGTCCAGTCGACGCTACGGGCATATGTTCTATATGTTACACTGTACCTATTGTTGGCTTTAGTTTTGAACTACGAACATATAATCGAGGCATATTTTTAGATTCGTTCAAACAATGATATTTTACAAAGTAATTTATCATAACGATCATATTTATTTGTAGCTTGGCGGATTTTCATTGTCAGGAGAGGCATACATGTCTGCATTAGCAAAGGTTCCAAAGAGTGTAATAATGGAAAATGTTCCTTATTACTGCAAACTGTACAGGTAATTTATTAAAAATCACCATTAAGATACTCAATCAGATTCAAATTCATTTGAATCAAATTTGATAAGCTAGTATATGTTATAAGATGAATCGATATATGTACAAACACAATGGAACTGCCTTCTTTAGTGGTTTAATTTGCAAGTATATCAATACTAAATGACGTTAAAGAAACATTGAAGTTTAAAATCGCCCATTCCACACGGAAATACTGGAAACATTAGCTAGTTCTAACTGTTACGAATCTAGAAAACCTAACTGTATAACTTATTTTATGTTATTCAAAATGGTACGATATTTTGAAAAAAAAGAATGAATATCATAAGATACTTTGATTCATATATTTTCGTGGGAACCAGTTTTCGCGGATTGAGGAAAACTTGCATTTTTGTCAATATTTGATTTCGTGGTTTTGCCAAAGTCTGCATAAACCTTATAGAAAATTTGAAATTCGTTGAGCATTTGATTTCGTGGTTCACCTGTATCCACGAAATCCACGAAAATTGGTATCCAACGAATAATAATGAATCCACGGTACATTAAAGTACTACCAATGTTTATTAGGAATAAAAAAGACGGAGCTTGATAGAACAAATTCTATTAACAGAACGGTTCATTACTGCTTTTTTCTGTGTTTGGTCATTGGCTTAACACCTTTTATTAAATCAAAAGGGTATCAACATTGATATTCGCATAAATGTGTTACTGTATTGTGGCATTAAACTAAATTCTCATATTTGTTTAAATCGTTTATTTATATTTAATTTTATATGCATATCTATCTATTGTCAGAAATCTCGGAAAGTTTTTCCTAAAACTAGGATTAATGGAAGCAGCCAAGACAGTATACAAGACTCTAATAAAGCAACTGGAGATGAATTTTGGGGAATCACATGGAACTATTGTATATGACCCTTTTGTTCAGAGTTGGGAATATCGCTGTAAACATCCTGATGTCATCACGGTAATCTAAGTTCAGAGTTGTAAATTGTCGTATTTCCAATTGTTAAACTTTGTTTACTTTTTAAATTATATATATAACTGAGCAAGTGGTTCTTTAATTGTTTAATTTTCACGCTCTTTAATTCTGGGACATCCCTTTTTTGTCTACCATACCATCCACCACGTGTGTCCTTTATTCTTATCTTGAATGTACTTGTCTAATTTAGTTTAAGACGCTGTGAAATAACAGTCATATGTGTTTGTTGTTTCAGGGATTACATGATCTAGGAACTGTATATCGTCAACTAGGAGAATATGACAAGGCTGTTTCAGTGTACAATGATGCAATAAATCGACAAAATAGAATTCGGTCTCCAAGTCAAAAACTGCAGGTATGATTACTTATCTTTTTATGAATAAAAGTAGATGTGGGTTACATGTCTAAAAGACAGCAATGTAAGGGAGAGAAACAACAACAAAGACATATTGTCGGCAACACATGTACAAAAACATTAAGTTTTCTAAAAATACTGTCTTTAGTACAATTAAATAAATACCAAAACGGACTTATTTATGAAAGCAGTATTGAAAACAATGTCAAAAAGTGTTACAATAATTACATTTAGTTTTATAAATTCCTTCAAAAATCGCTGTTGATATACAAATGTTAAAGAACACGATTTTGTGTTTCTTAGTAGACACATTTTTCATACACATGTGATTTTAGCAATATTGACCTATATGTTGTTGTACTAGTTATTTCTGAAATACATGTTGGCAACAGTAGAATAATAATTATGTAATTCTTATAAAACCAATAAATGTGGAAAAATTGAAATATATCGTGTTTATTAGGGTTCATTGTTTTGATATATTTTGCTGTATTTGTTTTTTTTTTTAATATCTATTAGTTGTGTGAAGGACTCCTTGGCTTGTCCACCGTTTACATTCACAAGGAAGACATGTTTGAAGCTAAGATATTAATGACAAGAGCTTTGGAACTTGCAACCTTTGTTCTTGGAAAGAAGCATCATTTTGTAGCTGCTATTTTGACAAAGGCAAGATACAATTTATTTTGAATATGTATTAAGTTGTTTATCTCATTATTTATGAAACTGATTAACAATGGCATGTTTGAAAAATATTGTATTATCAGATCTGTTTGTTTTAGATATTCTTGGTTAGCTCTTATATATAAATATATATATACTTTAAAATTTCCAATTAGCATGATTAATAATCGCCCCAAGCCACTCAACAGGGTTTTCACAATTTGTCTATCAGTCATTTTAGTAGTTTATCATGCATTAACATGATTAAGATCCTTTAAAGTTGAATTTTTTCGCTGTTAACAAATACAAAAACTCATTAAAGACAATAAATAATAAATCATTCTTCCAATCTGAATATCTGTCGTTTAAATTGCATAGGCTTGTATCAGATATGTAGACCAGGCATGGGGTAATGGAAATTTGTAATTGTAATGCATGGTAAAGCATTACATTTTTCCAAGTAATTGTATGTAATGTGTAATGCAGGAATTTTTGCATTACATGTAATTGTAATTTAATGCATTACTTTAGCAAAAAGTTGTGTAATTTCATGCATTACATGGCATTACTTTTTCACATACCACATCTTAAACATACATCTATTGTTGGAGAATTGACTAAAGCAGAATTTAAGATTTTGATTAACTAAGAATATATTAATCATTTGAATATATTCTTATTTCAGTTTATTTCATACATGATTTTCATACATTTTCCTGTATTAAAAGATTAATATTTGAACAGCATTACTGTTGTCATGAGATCAAAGAATAAAAGATAATTAAATTTTGTTATAAAACACAAATTAGTTTGTTTGACAATCAATATTTTCACCATTTTGACAATTGTTCATTAATTAAGCTCTATGTTTATTATATAATTAGGAAAGAATTTCTCAGTAATTAAACATTTTGATTGAAATAAAAAAAAAAAGTATATTTATAAAAGTAAAGTCAACATTAAGTTAAAATAATTAAAAATGTAATAGCCTTATTGAATAGACTTTTAACACGTATATATAAATTCAATGCATGGAACAGTTATTGCATATGCTAGTATCTTTTGTGACTTCATGTCGTTTTTCAAAATGTAAAATTTTTCTATTCACTCAACCCTTCCCTCCATGGATTTATTTTTTACATACTTGATTTGCATTTGATTTTTTCAATAAAAAAATCATCAGGTTTAAAGTGTTAATGCATTGCAAAAACGAATATTTCATCAATAAATTCTAGTCAGATATTCTCATGAATATCCTTTTTATATAAGTTACAAATTTTATTAAGTCTGATACAGATTTTTCGTAGGCAAGATGTTTCAACTGAGGCACTACACAGGCGTCAAAAGGAGTCATTATGGAGGAAAGGGGGTGGCGTCAAAAGGAGTCATTATGGAGGAAAGGGTTAATAATAAAATTTACAAATGTAATTTGTAATAAAATGCATTACTTTGCAAAATTAATTGTAATATAATGCATTACTTTGATAAATGATTGTAATTGTAATTGTAATTTAATGCATGGTTTTGTCAAAGTAATTGTAATATAATGCATTAAATTGCAATGTAATTCGCCCCATGCCTGATGTAAACATAGAAATAGTCTGCGCGATATTTCTTATTTGATAAGAGTTAAGTAGTTTCCTATACCATATTTGTATCTATATAATTCTGTATTTATTGATGTTTTCACTTTTTAAGATCATCAGTTTATTCATCATGTTGCTATTTCTTTTCAGCTTGGACAGTTGTCTTACAAACAGGGTCGTGTAGACGAGGCACTTGCCTATTACATGCAGGATTTGAAGGTTACGAGAAGTGAAGTTGGTACCAATCATCCACGCACGGCTGTTGTATTAAATGAGATCGGACTGGTATATGATGATAAAAATGACAACATGGCAGGACAATTATATGAAGCCGCTTTGTCCATAATTCTAGAAACATACGGAAATAATTATCTAGGGACAGGATCCATACGGTTTGTTATCATTTGTTTCATTGATATTTTGTAGAAATCAATTTAAATATGTTACAAAATTGTGTCAATTCTAACCATTAACAAAAACTATTACCTATCTGGGTCCATAACACAAATGATAGGAGTGATAACGATTCACTTGGGACAAGGAAGCCATTAAACCAAGGGTTCCAAGTGGAAAAGTTGAAGTCGTTTTTTGGAAGTATTGTGGACACCATCACGAGTTGGTTAACCATTATGGAATCTCTGCTGTGCCACAAATTGTAAATTATATGATATGATCTATCTGTCCTTACCACTATCCTGTACTCTTTTTCTTTATTGTGTCCATCAAATTATATTTATCACACCGAATTTGTACTTTCCACGAGCAACATGACGGGCGCCACTAGTGGAGAAGAATTTGCTTACTGTTCCGGAGCGCCTGCAATCGTTCAAGTTGTTAGTAGGGTGCGTAATGCTCAGTCTTTAGTTATCTATGTAGTGTTTTCTTGACTTGTTTGTCTTTTCGCCGACTTTCGATTTTTGAATTTTCGATTTTTGAGTTTTGAATTTCCCCTTGGTGTCCGCTGCATCTTGTTTTAAATGTATTATCTTCTATTCTTCTACCCCAGGTGATTATACTTGCAATCCTAAAGAAAACCCTGTTTATTTGAAATATTAAAAGTGATGTTATACATGTTAATAATGTAGGCGCTAATGCAGTGTTATATTTTTCAGGTACAATCTAGGAGCTTTTTACTTTGGAACCAACCATTTTGAAAAAGCACGATTTCAATTTACAGAATCGTACAAGATACATGATATGTTCCTAGGAGATAATCATCCAGATACAATTGCTGTGAAAGAGGCACTAAATACTGTGTCAGCAATGACAAAAACGAAATAGTAGTGAATGAGATTGACATGACATTGTAAAGAAAATTCTAGAAATCAATGGGAAAGAAATACAACTGTAACGTTTTAGAATGTTGAAAACTAACATAATACCAAATTTTTATTTGATATAATATTTTATCATTTAGACAATTCAAATTACAGAAATATTATTCCAGCTTCTCTCTATTTACTAAACAGTTTTCCCAAAACACAAACAGGGGTAAAAATCATCATCCAAGGGCAATCGTTCCTCAAAGAAGTTTTGAATTTATGTAACAGGTGAATCTAAATAATAATGAAGAATAAACAATGACATTTCCTGCTTCAGTTATTGGGGAATATTTTTTATTAAAATTTTCTTTGATTTGATAAACACTTAAAACAAGCATTGCAATACTCTCAGTGATAAATCTAGTGATAAATCTTTTCAGCAAATACTGAGTGGAAACTAATATAACCAGATCTACTAAATAATATTTTTGTTTGTTTATGTAAATTGATAAAATTGGGAATGCCATTTAAATACTCAACCATGTAGCATTCCTTCAGCTCTATTTTTCCATAAATATTTCAGTATAATATTTTAATGCATATCATTACTATATTTGCATAATTTAAAGAGACATAACCACAATAAAATATTATTTCAAGAATAACAGTACTGTAGTTGAAGAGTTGACGCCGTCAATTGGCGATTGGACGGTCGTAAATGCAGTTTTTACTGGAGACGCGTAGCGTAGATGGTAAAACGGATATTTGCGACCGTCAATTCTTGAACTATAGTACTGTTACTCCGATCTAATGCATTAAAACAAATGTGGCTACGTAAATGTGAAACTAATCATACATGTTCATTGTGAGAGGAACTTTGATTTAAAGTTTGAAACTGTTTTATGGTCACAGAGCATGGACATGTGATAATGCGAGTGGGCAATGGTCTCCTATGGCATAAACTATGTTAACTTGTAACTGGTTTGTAATTACATGTCATTTAGAAACTAAGAATACGGCCAGGTAGGCTCAGTTCAAAATAGATTTTATACAAAAGAGCTTTAAATCAATGTAATATTAACAGAAATATTTAGTACCCTAATAATTGATATTATTTAGTTTACTATTATATTTTTATATAACTTTATTTTTGTGATATTTTTTTAATGTCTTTCATTTATAACTACCACATATCCTACATGTATAATTTACATTAACTTTTGATGGTAATACTCAAACAGTGCTGCATAATAAAACAGTGTTGCATAATACAATATATATTTTGAATTGGTGTGAAATTTTGGTGTGACTGAGCGATGAAGTATTCCATTAGTGTGTTCCCTTATCAGTAATAGAATATCGTTCATATAGTGGAACACTATTGGGTGTATGACGATGTTGACGGCATAAAGCTGATCGGTCATCTTATCCTTTATTTTATATAAAAGTGATTACATCAGTGGACAGATATATAGATAAATGTAAAATTCACTTACAACAAAATAACCGTCTTAGTTTACATTTTACGCATGTCATTAGATGTAAACGAATTGAACAAGATATAATTTTGTCAAGGATAAAAGTTTCAAAACAAACACTCAAATGGAATGCTTCAAAATTAGACATGTGAATATGTACTTTAGTGATTTTTTAAACTTCAGTACTGGCAATACAAAAACGGATAATTATTGTTTTGATGACATTTTATGTTATAAAATTTTGGAATTAATACTATGTTATGGAACATCTTTCTCATCCATAGCTCTGATTCATTGTCTGAATTTGCATACTACATCTGGTCCCAGTTGGTTTTATAACCTCGTCGGCATTTGTTTAGGTTTTGAATTTTCAAATACTTCGGCCTTGATCATTACTGAAAAGACATTAATTGTCGAAATGAGCATCTGCAGTAAACATGTACCAATTATGATATTGTACATGTACATGGAAACCTGTGACAAACTGGTTATCGAATTTCAACAATATATTAATGGGCTTTATTTGTGAAAAGACCTTTCAAAACTATGAGTGTGGTGCTCATTTTAAGACGATGCCGATTTATTATCAAGAATATGAACTAACAGAGTTGTTGAGGGTATGCACCAAACAATCTTAAAAAAGCAAGTCGATTTCACCAGGTCTTCAACAATAGTTGATTGTCTGTACCATTTTATATTCAGAATAGACCCTTATCTAAGCTTTTAACATACAATCATTATGCGGAATAAAATTAGAGTCTCTGATATTTTGTATTATTTTTTACTATTCTATGATACTCATATTTATGGTTATTCTTTTTGTGAATTATGCGATGTAGGTTTATTTATATTTTTCTTTATTTATTATTCTCTTGTTTCTGTATTGTTTCAATAAATACTCTACCGATACATGTGTAGTAATTACGCCTTTTCAGTAACTACTATTTGCCTACAGAGTAATGCACCAGGTAAAGTAAACTAATGAAGATATCTTAGTATGTTATTTCATGCTAAGTTAACGCAGGTTTTTGGCATATAAGTGCCTGCGCCTGTCATTCTTAAATTGTGTGTTTTTTGTGTGTTAGCGTAGACTGTCGTTAATCTTCTCGTCGTTTTGTTTGGTATTATCTGTTTTAATTGACCGTATGGTTTTTGATTGCCACATTGGTCTCTTCTCTTCTTTTTAACATGCAAATTGTTCAGAAAAAAAAACATGAAAAATATAAATGAAGTCCTTTGCAATAGTCGCTCAATATACATCAATGATTGTGGGTATGAAACTTTTATACTTTTTTTCGATTGATACTATAATTCTCATACACATAGTTGTGAAAATTTAAATCACTGTAGCAAGCTGAGGAAGTTTGATGTTTTCAAACTGATAGGATGAAGGAATAAATGTAAAAAAAAATGTTAAATCATCTTAAAAGTAAAAATAACTCAAAGGAAAATTCAAAACGGAAAGTCCCATATCAAATTGCAAAATCAAAAGCTCAAACACATCAAACGAATGAAAAACAACTGTCATATTCCTGACTTGGTACAGGCATTTTCTTAAGTAGAAAATGGTGAATTAAACCTGGTTTTATAGCTAGCTAAACCTCTCACTTGTATGACAGTCACATAAAATTCTATTATAATGACAACAATGTGTGAACAAAACAAACAGCTTGCTGTTCGGTGTGAGCCAAGGCTCCATGTTAAAAGCCGTACTTTGACCTATAATGGTTTACTTTTACAAATTGTGACTTGGATGAAGAGTTATCTCATTGGCACTCATACCACATCTTCTTATATCTATTAAAGGTAAAAATGTCAAAAATAGGAGTACAGCAGTCAACATTGTGTTATAGTCTTAATCACTATAAAAAACAAACAAATGTGTCAACAAAGAAAAACAAAATGGCATATAGACAAAGCATATAAGCAATAATGAAAGACAAGAATACAAAAATTAACCATAGCACAATAACACAATGACGGGATATATAAGTACCGGGCCTCGCCAAAGAAATATTACCAAATTTGGACTAAACAGTAAAGGTAATAATTTACAAAGACAAATAAAAGAACACTATAACACGTAATTAAGATGATAATCAACGTTAGTACCTAGAATTTATACTTCAAGACCATCATGTATTATTTTTGAAGTTGATACGGAATATTTATCAACAAGGTATTGTTATCTTCCAATGAACTTTTTTTTAGAAAAAGGACGAGACGATCTTTGATATAACCCTGGATCATCAACTTTCTGCTCAGACACTGGTTTTATAAAGTATGAGTAGCAGCTGCAAGATCTGGAATACCGAATGAGTTGGGAAATGTATATCCCATATGCAGGTGAAGTTGGTATATTGCAACTAATGTGGGGGAAATTGATAACTTAAAAATTAAAATCGTCTCGTTTGTCAAGGATTCTGTTACTGAGATGACCGCTTATGTCAAATTCGAGGCATAAGTCTAAAAATGAGGCGGAGGAAGCCGTGTCTGTTGTTTCTTTAATTTCTAGTTCTGGAGTATATATTATTGGAACCCAATAAGAAAAATTTGGATTGTTAATGGAAAGAACATCATCAATATATCTGAATGTGAAATTAAACGATCTGGCTTCTTTGATATTCTTGTATTTGACAAGTGTCTGAATGAACTCCGACTCATATGAAAATAAGAAGAGGTCGGCAAGGAGAGGCGCACAGTTCGTTCCCATATGAATGCCGACAATCTCTTGAAAAAGTCTACCTCCAAATTCAACAAATATGTTGTCAATAAGAAACTCCAGCATACTGATCACTTGTTCCTCTGTGTATCATGGTTTACCTTTTTGTTCACTATTAACAAAATATGCCGTATTGTATCCCAAAGTAATAAATTTATAGCGTATGCTACCATTTTTATATTGAAAAGCAATGTGGATTATTTTTTAGACGATTTTTCAGTTTTACATGGGGAATGGTGGTATACAGGGTTGAAAAATCAAAAGTTTTGATAGAACTATTTTCAGAAAACGATATGACGTTTTAAACAAAAGTACTTGGACTATTTCAACAACAGTTCAAATAGATACCTCCATTTCCATTTACAGTGAAACGGAGGTTATGGTTTTATGAAGTATTAAGGGTGTTTAGTAGAAAAACTAGTTGTTTAACCAGGTTATATCAAAAGTTGATGAGCATATGTATACGTTTGTACCTTTGGTTTCATATGCATGCGCTATTATAGTGTTCCAAATTTTCTTGAACAAACAATCTGATTTACTGGATTTATACAGCATTTATTATGATTTTTTTTTGTATGTGCCATTTTGAAAAAAAGTTATGCCAAAACGAAAGTATAAAAAACATCAGCGATCGATGCCAGATAAAGGAACAAATTTATCAGAAAATTCTTATTCAGATAGTAATCAGAGTTGACTTTCTGGGTTAGTTGAACTGTCGTTTTACTGTTATGATTGGACTTAACCAAAAGCACACCTTGCGGACAAAAGAGAGATGAGCAAGGGCCTGAAACAGTTATAACAAACTCAAGTGAAATGGTTTTTACGATCTTCTTTCTTCAAAAGCGCATATGAAAGTCATATACAATTAATAACAATGTAATAGTATATAATGAAAATAATAGAAACATATAATTCATATAAATTTCCAACATAAATGATCAATTAATATTTTGAGTATTGAACTAAACAAACTTTACGTTAACGCATGAGCATATGTATATTAATAGACGAACACGTATGCTTATAATATTTCTAATAAATACAAGCTTACTTAGCATTCAAATATGTGAGCAAGATGCGGACTAAATCTTAAACGTATGAGCATAATGCGTGACCTAGTACTTGAACCTAACACTACTGCAACAACAGCCCATGAAAAGGCCGTGAAATGTCTGTGAAATATCACAGGGCCGTGAAAACCCCGTAAAATACCCCGTGACTTTTGTAAAAAAAAATATTTCTTAAGGCCGTGAAAAATATTTGATGTTAGAAAAAGACCGTGAAATTTCAATATCCCGTGAAAAGGCCGTGATAATTTGTCCTTTCATGCTTAATAAAAATATCACGGACTTTTCACTGGTTGTTGAAACCAGTGAAAAGGCCGTGATATTTTTCATGTCAATTTTTTCTTATCCTAATTCAGATTTAAAACATCCCATGTGATTATTGTATTAAATATGGTCTAATTATTTCCACTCACATTTTTCTAAATATCCTATAAACTTTTCATTATAAATATATGTCTGTTTAAATATTATTATATGCAATACTACTGTAATAGGAATGGATTATTTCCCTTTTCATTACTTAATTATTTCAGGCTGTTAATTGATTTGCTTGATAATATTTCATTTAATTTGATTTATTCTATTTAGTATTCATATATTGAGCACGACTGACATTTGAGTTCCTTTATTTATTCGGCGTTTGCGATAATTTTGCAATGTTATTTATTTTTGCTTACCATTTTGAAAGAAGTTATTTAAACGAAATAATTAAAATATTTGAATATGAACTAAATGCCTAAAGACGGGTTGCCTGTCTGAGTGCGATGCACAATAAAACAAACTACGATAAGACGGGTTGCCTGTCTGAAATTAAGCTGCATATATGCAAGCCTAGTGGCGTCATGATGGCTAAGCTAACCTGGTTTTGGCATTAATGTTTGGAAGGGTTTTTGTCTAAATGTTATTAAGATGTTTTGATGTGTTAAATGTTGAATTGAATATGTCTTTACTTTCTTTTCATTAAATGGTTATTTGTTTTGCTGCTTTGAGTATTATTTGAAGTGCCTTGGAATATACCCCATACATTGTATCCAGAACCATCCCCTCTCATTTGGTCCGGCGAGGCGGATACAGTTGTTCCTGGGGTATATTGTTTATAAGTTTGATTCATTTTTTAAAATTTATATATATTTCTGGTCATGTTTCGATTTGAAGAAAAACCTTGTTTGTTCGATGGTGTCAGCATTGATGTTACAGATTATGTGGTTCATTTTGAAACTGTTTCATTATGGAATCAGTGGACTGAGTTTGAAATGGCTTGTCAACTTATCATTAATTTGAGAGGTGAGGCTCAGACAGTTTTACGTTTTCTGGAAAAGAAACATATGCAAGATTATCAGTATTTGAAAAAAATGTTGGTTCAAAGGTTTAACCCCAAGGAAAGGGAAGCATATTTCAAAATTGAACTGAAAAATTGTACAAAAAAGGAGAGTGAAAATATTTCTGAGTTTGGTCAGCGGTTCAAAATTTTGGCACACAAGGCATATCCTGAGAGTTATTTTGATTTGAATTTGTATTTGGTTGATTTATTGATTTCAAAATTGGATAGTGAAATGGGGAAACATGTCGCTTTGAAACACCCGAATTGTTTGGATGATGCAATAATTTTGGCACTTGATTACGAAACAGTTTGTCTTACAACTGGCAATTTTATTTCTGAAAGTGTTGAAACTGAATCGTGTGACAAAAGTTTAACTTGTTCTGAAATTGTTTGTTTGGGTTTTGAGATATTGTCTAAATTTGACAAGAAATACTTGAAGTGTCGGAGAAAACGTCAACAAAAGAAGTGTTTCAACTGTAGTCAAATTGGTCATGTACGAGCCAAATGTCCCAATAAAGTGGTTAAAGCCAATGTTAATGCTGAAAAGTCTGATGTTAGTGGTAGTATTGAAATGTTTTCAGAACCGGAAGTTTTAATCAGTGATGATTTCTTTGGACTGGTATGCTAAAACGGTTTACCTTGGTGCATTTTCTTAGGGTTTATGTGTATTTGTGTGTTGTAGGTGTTTTTGTAGTTGTTTGCATACAAATATTGTTCTCTACTTTTGTGGCAACAGTTCAAAGACGTGCTGCATGTCAGAATAACTGGTTTGTACAAACTTTCTTTTTACTTGGTTTAA